GTTGACAAATAGGTGAGCTGTGCTTCTTCCTCCACTGGGCTGAAATGAGGATGTAGCTTAGCAGCTGCTGACCACAACTGGAACCCCCAGAATTTTCCTATTCAGAATAACAGAGCTGGAATGAATAGAGTAGAGTGGACTGGGTTGGACTGGAGTGGACTGGACTGGAATAGGAATAGGAATAGGAATAGGAATAGGAATAGGAATAGAATAGAATAGAATAGAATAGAATAGAATAGAATAGAATAGAATAGAATAGAATAGAATAGGAGTTGGAAGGGACCTCGGAGGTCTTCTAGTCCAACCCCCTGCTTACACCACTTCAGACAAATGGTTATCCAAGATCTTCTTAAAAACCTCCAGTGTTGGAGCATTCACAACTTCTGGAGGCAAGTTATTCCATTGATTCATTGTTCTTACTGTCAGGAAATTTCTCCTTAGTTCCAGGTTGCTTCTCTCCTTGATGAGTTTCCACCCATTGCTTCTTCTCCTGCCCTCAGGGGCTTTGGAGAACAGCTTGACTCCCTCTTCTTTGGGGCAGTCCCTGAGATATTGGAAGACTGCTATCATGTCTCCCCAGAGTCCTTCTTTTCATCAGACTCGACATACCCAGTTCCTGCAACAGTTCTTTGGAAGTTTTAGTCTTCAGTCCCCTAATCCTCTTCATTGCTCTTCTTTACACCCTTAAGGGACCCTGGAGGTCTTCTACTCCAACCCCCTCTCAAACAGGAGACCCTATACCATTCCAGTCAAAATGTTTGTCCAATCTCTTCTTAAAAAGAGAGCAATCAACCCATGGAACAGAAGTTGCCTTCAGAAGTTGGGGGAGTTTCATCCCTGGAAGCTTTCAAGAAGAGACCAGACTGCCATTTGTCAAAAATAGTGTAGGGTTTGCTTGTTGGGGGGATGGGGGGGTTGGACTAGATGATCTACAAGATCCCTTCTAACCCTGTTAATCTGTAATGAAAGCAATGAAAACTTCCAGCGTTGAAGCATTCACAACTTCTGGTGGCAAGTCGTTCCACTGATTAATTGTTGTCACTGCCAGGAAATTTCTCCTTAGTTCAAGCTTGCTTCTCTCCTTAGAGCAAGTAACCTTGTTCAACCTGGACCCGGCATAAAGTCACACGCCCTGTTTGTGTGACCTCACAAAAGTCTTGGTTGCGAAACATCCCGGTATAAAAGAGTTTTTATCCTGCAGGTGGCACAAAACTTTTCACTGAATTGTTTAGCAAACTTTCCAAAGCTAAATACCATCTGCAAGGAGGTGTTAAGCCCTCGTTTTGTCTCCCAGCTAAACGTTTGTCGAGGCAACGCAACAACACAAAGAAAAAAAAAAAGCCAAAAAAACACTTCTCCACCCCTTGTCTGGCTGGCTTTCGAGAGAGGTAATTCTACATTCCAGATGCAATCTCGGTTCTTTTCCTTGCATATCCTCTCATTCATTTTTTTTCTCTCTCTCTTTCTCTCTCTCGCTGAAAGATACAAATTAAAAAAAATAAAAAAAATAAAATTGGAACACTCATATGCAGAAGAAACCGAATTCTTTGCAGCGGAAAAGAAAAAAGAAAAAGGAAAACGACAAAGGCAAATGCTCAGAATACACAACGACGTTATGGAAGTTGGTGGAAGGAAGGTTGCTCAGTTCGAAAGCCTCACGAGTGAGAAGGAAGGTCCTCGACTACTTGGATATAAAAATATCCGCGGAGTTATTTTATAATGCTGGAAAATGCCTTTGGGGCAGCTATAAAAATGCAATCAACAGGAACTTCTATCAAATGCACAGAAAGGCTTTTGCAAAATCACTTCCTGCCTTCTGGATCAAGCCGGGAGTTTTTGGCCCTACATAATCTCCAGAGTCCAGTTAGGACAAACGGAGGAAATTCTATTTCTTTTCAAATCTGTCAATCAACAGTCTTGGTACCAAGGAAAACTCTCAAATACAGACATTTTCTCTGGGGTGTGAAATCTCTGCCTGATAAGGAAACAACTCAATGTTTTAGCCCAGGAGTCGGCAACCTTAAACACTCAAAGAGCCATTTGGACCCGTTTCCCACAGAAAAGAAAACACCGGGAGCCACAAAGAGGTTGTAGAAAAAAATGCTTTTAAAAGTAAAAAAAAAAAAAAAGGTTGGCCACGCCTACCCAGTCACCTTAACACCCCCCCACACCAAGCCACGCCCACAGAACCCGTAGTAACAAATTTTACATTTCACCACTGTGTTTTTTTTCCCTACCCATCAACTAAAGAGTCATGACTCCAAGGAGTCTGTGGGAATTGCAACCTGTGCAGACAAGCTCAGGTTATTGAGTAATAAGGCAAGTTAGCAGGCATGCGTCATCAGTCAAAGGCAAGAATAACCCAACACATACTGTCCTGGCAACAGTAAGGAAGTGGTTGGGCAGCTCCGTGAGTTTTGTTTCTTCTTTTTACATCGTCATCTAGCCCTCTAGCCTGGTGTTCTGCTGATCTTTATTCCAAATATTACCCAGGTCCAACTCTTATTGCTTTTCCAGGTGTACCCAGGTGTTCTCACCTTAGAAATTGAACAGCACAAATGTGGCCCCGGAAAAATCTCTTTAATTCATACGGCGGTAAATTACTTTCATTTGCATTCCGCAAGGCTTGATAAACAGTCTTTCAGAGGAAGGTTATCAACACCCACCTATCTCACGTGGAACGCTGCCAAAGAGCTAATTTCCAGATGCAGGGCAAGGCCAGACTTGGCACAGAGTCACAAACAGAAGTTTCCAATCTTGAATCGGCCAGGTGAACTAATTGCTTCCTGCAAAAGCTCCCGTCCCATTCACTTCTCTTTTATGGCTTATGGGAGGGGCCAATCATCTCCAAGCCTTACTCCCAAGTCGACCCTGTTTCCTTAATTGTTCCTGTCTCCTGGCAGCTCTGCACATGCGCACACTGGGAACAGGCTCATGCTGTTCTTCTGCCTCGCTGATGTCAGACTCCAGAGACTCCGGAGGCAGCAAAGAACTCCCAGATGGCCTTGGCCCCCTCTCTGCCTCCGACTCAGAGTGTTCGTCCGAGCCTTCCCAAGACTCCAGGACTGGCCCACGTTCCTCCCCAGCCTCCTCACTGTCCGAATCTGCTGCCAGCTCTGTTGGCTGCTGGCAGGCCACAACAGGCAAAAGGCAACTTCCCTGAAGAAGCTTCTTGGATGAGAAGCAAAACGTCTTCAGGGAAAAAACAAAGTCTTGAGTCAATCCGAATCAAACTGCTGGCAGTGGGTAGAATCAGCCTGCAATACTGCATTCTAACCACTGTGTCACCAGGGCTGTCTGTTAAGTTGACTTAACAGGCTTAAGTTGTCTTCACTAACTCAGTCACTCAGTGTTAGTGATGTTGTGTGCATGGCTAGAAGTTTAATTCTCGGGGAACCAAGAATAAACCAAGAACAATTCTGGCTAGGCTATCTCTCTTGCTGGTAAACATGACATTATTGTTAGAGGCGGAGTCCCATGTTGAGTGAGAAGGTGAACTGGGGACCAAAACTGGATGCAGTATTCCAGGTGTGATCATACTAAGGGAATAGAATAGAATAGAATAGAATAGAATAGAATAGAATAGAATAGAATAGAATAGAATAGAATAGAAATAGAAATAGAAATAGAAATAGAAATAGAAATAGAAGTAGAGTAGGATAGAATAGAGTAGAGTAGGAGTAGGAGTTGAAGTAGGAATAGAATAGAATAGAAGAGAAGAGAAGAGAAGAGAAGAGAAGAGAAGAGAAGAGAAGAGAAATGGAAATAGAAATAGAAATAGAAATAGAAATAGAAGTAGAATAGGATAGAATAGAGTAGAGTAGGAGTAGGAGTAGGAGTTGGAGTAGGAATAGAATAGAATGGAATGGAATGGAATGGAATAGAATAGAATAGAATAGAATAGAATAGAATAGAATAGAATAGAATAGAATAGAATAGAATAGAATATAGAAAATGAATAGAACAGAATAGAATATTCCTTATTGGACTAGTGTGATTTGACACACAAGGAATTTGTCTTCCGTGCATAAGCTCTCAGTGGACATAAAAGCTATAAGTGATAAATCATGATCATAGCCATCATAAATACATCCATCGTGAATCGTAAGTCACAACACTTAGCGATAGTCATAGGATACTAAATAAGCAATCAACATAAATCATAGTAGGAAACTAAATAAAATAATATAAATCGTAAAGGTACAAGTAACGTATAAAGCGGTATTAACACTTTGCGTGATCTTGATTCCATCCCTCTGTTTATGCAGCCTAGAACTGTGTTGGCTTTTTTGGCAGCTGCTGCACACGGCTGGCTCGTATTTTAAGTGATTGTCCACTAGGACTCCAAGGTCCCTTCCAACTCTCTTACTGTTACATTTTTTAAAGAAATCAACTCCACTTAGTCCCTTGCCTTCTTTACGATGGTGCCATCCTACCTACAATGGACTCTTGCAAAGGCAGAAATTATCTGCATGATGATCTGGGTTCCATCAACAGGTCTTTCAACAGCTTCCAAGAACGGCCCCACCCAAAAAAATTGTCATTCACAACAACGGAGCCCAAACATTACCCAGCCCCAAAACGTGTTGTAATCTCATCTCGTAACAAGGATCCTGTTTCCTCCCAGGAATCAGTTGGCTTTGTAGAGCCTCGTAACTTGAGAAGCAGCCAAGCAGATGTTTCTTCCAGTAACCCAGCAACGAGAACACAAGGACACACGTGTCCCAGGTTGCACTGAAAGCCGAAGGAACAGGTGAGCCCTCTTAACAAGGTTCAGACACTTACTGGTGCTTTGCCGATTGAGAATCAGCAACAGATGAAGAAAATAAAGATATAGAAAATAAACAAAATAAAATGTATTTATTTATAAAAGAAAGAAAGAAAAAGTTAGCTCAGCTCTAGCCTTTTTTCTTATTGGAAGCATCCAGTACAGTGCTGGATTGCCCCCGGTTCAGACCGGTTCGCAAGAACCGGTAATAAAACCGGCAGGAGGCTCCGCCCACTGCCCCGGATGTCGACATCGGCAATCTGCGCATGTGCAGAAGTAAGGTGTGTACATGAGCGAAGTGCAATCCCATTGCGAACCGGTAGTAAAGGAAGTAGAACCCACCCCTGATCTAGTAGGTGAGAATAACAGAATGACTGAGATGGAGGTCTTGCTTGTTTTGAAACGTTGTGGGTGTACCATCCCTGGAGGTTTTTAAGAAGAGATCGGAGAGTGAATTGTCTGAGGACCGTGATGGCGAATCTATGTCACGCGTGCCACAGCTGGCAAGCAGAGCCGTCTCTGCGGGCACACGAGCCGTCGCCCATCTCAGCTCCACCGCGCATGCGTGCCTCCCACCGGTCAGCTGATTTTTGGGATGAGGGGGGCAGGACACATGCGGTAGACGTGCGTGTGTCATGTGCACATGGGGGGGAAGCATGGGGGAGGGTCATTTTGCATGCATGGGACCCATATTGCTAGCACGCACGCATGTGCTTTCGGCACACAACGACAAAAAGGTTAGCCATCACTGGTATAGGATCTCCTACTTGAGTAGGGGGCTGGACTAGAAGACCTCCAAGGTTCCTTTCCAGCTTTGTTATTCTGTTAAATTGAGGTCACGGAGTCATATACATGTCAAACTTCAAATTGGACATGCTGTCTAGCTGGCAGTTAAATCCCTCCCCTTCCACCCAAGAGAACTAGTATAGGATTTCACCTGATGAAAGTGGCCATCAGAAAAAGGGAGAGGGAGGATGGAGGTGGGGAAGACAGAGGGAGGAGGGAGGGAGGGAGAGAGACAGAGACTGTCAACCACTGAAGGAAGCAGGTTACTTTAGGTATCATCTTATCTGTATATATATATATATATTTGTATTTTATTAGTTTGTCAAATATATACAAGATAGGAGGTATAAATATAAACGTGTATATGAACGAAAGAAATGAGTACAAATAAATGAGGGACAGTAGGACAGGGACGGTAGGCATGTTGGTGCTCTTATACACACCCCGTTTACGGACCTCTTAGGAATGGGGTGAGGTCCACGGTAGACAGTTTGAGGCTGAAGCTGTGGGAGTTTGAGGATGTAACAACGGACTCAGGTAGAGCATTCCAGGCGTTGACTACTCTGTTGCTGAAGTCGTATTTTCTGCAATCGAGTTTGGAGCGGTTTACCTTGAGTTTGTATTGATTGTTTGCTCGTGTATTATTGAGGTGGAAGCTGAAGTGGTCGTTGACAGGTAAGACGTTGTAGCAGATAATTTTGCGTCCTGTGCTTGGATCATACCGCATTTCTGAAGTGAAATGTGAGTGCCTGCTTTGTTTTGAAGGTGACTACAATTTTGCAGATCAGCCACTGCATGGATCAAAGGTTTCAATGTCTGGTTGTTGAGATCTTTATGGGTTTTCCGCCTAATCTCGAACCTGCTTGACCTTTCCTCAGATCAGCTCTGCGGTGTTAGGAAAGCGTCTCTTCTCCCACAACTGGATGGAGGCCTCAACTAACCCCGTGAATGATGGCCTTCAACATTTACCTGGCCTTTCCTTTGCTGTCAGGGAAACCAGTTCTGACAGCCTTCTCCTTGAATGTCCTTCTCTGGACATTCCTCGCCTTCGCGGGGATTTCCCTCGTTGTCAAGGAACCACATCGCACGTGTGAAGATGTACAGATCCTTCAAGGAGTTCCGGGAAGAAGCGCAGTCACTGAAAAAACATCCTCTTATCCCCTGTCCCTGTTTGCCTGCCAAGGAAAAATAACGTACTATGAGGTAAATGCTCCTTTGAAGACCAGCGAGAATCGAATTGATAAGCCATGTTTGATTAGTGAAATGGTTTTACTTAACTATGATTAAGTTGTTGGAAAACAGAAGGGCTGCAGTGGTGGTGATGGGAGAGATCATTTCTCTCAGGGTTTCAGCAGGGGTGGGCTTTTGGGGGTTCGGGAGAACCTCTAGCTAAGATTCTGTGCAGTTTGGAGAGCCCCCAAATCCCACTCCTGGCTGGCCCCTCCCCTCCCCTCCCCTCCCCTCCCAGGAGTCCCCACACGGCCCGTTTTGGTTGCAGGTAAGTGCAAGGCGTGCACAGAGGCTCGGGGAGGGTGAAAAATTGGCCTGTCGGAAGTTCAGGAAGGCCAAAAACGGGCCCGTTTCCAGCCTCCAGAGGGCCTCCGGAGCCTGGGGAGGCCATTTTCTCCCTCCCGGAGGCTCGAGGAAAGCCTCTGGAGCCTGGGGAGGGCAAAAACACCCCGCTCCACCGTGGTGCAGGAAGCCAACTAGACCACACCCACCATGGCCACACCCACCCAGCAACTCGGCAGAGAACCCTTTGCTAAAATTTTTGAAGCCCAGCCCTGGGTTTCAGTCCACGCAGAGAGAAATCTGCATTTTTATCAGGTCAGAAAGCGTCTAAGTATATCTACCCATGTAGTATGCCTGTATTACTATTATCCTTCTCATTTTTTATACTACCTTCTCGTACTGGTATTTATGATTATATTGCTTTGTTGCCTGCATGTACACTGAGAGTTTCTGCACTGGAGAGAAATTCCTTGTGTGTCCAATCACACTTGGCCAAATAAAGTTTCTTCTCTTCTCTTCTCTTCTCTTCTCTTCTCTTCTCTTTCTTCTTCTCTTCTCTTCTCTTCTCTTCTCTTTTCTCTCCTCTCCTCTCCTCTTTCCTTCCCTTCCCTTCTCACTCCTTCTCTTCTCTTCTTCTCTTCCCTTCTCACTCCTTCTCTTCTCTTCTTTTCTTCCCTTTTTGCTCCTTCTCACTCCTTCTCTTCTCTTCTCTTCTCTTCTCTTCTCTTCTCTCCTCTCCTCTTCTCTCCTCTCCTCTCCTCTCCTCACCTCTCCTCTCCTCTTTCCTTCCCTTCCCTTCCCTTCTCACTCCTTCTCTTCTCTTTTCTTCCCTTCTCGCTCCTTCTCACTCCTTCTCTTCTCTTCTCTTCTCTTCTCTTCTCTTCTCTTCTCTTCTCTTCTCTTCTCACTCCTTCTCTTCTCTTCTCACTCCTTCTCTTCTCTTCTTTTCTTCCCTTCTCGCTCCTTCTCACTCCTTCTCTTCTCTTCTCTTCTCTTCTCTTCTCTTCTCTTCTCTTCTCCTCTTCCCTTCCCTTTTCACTCTTTCTCCCCTCCCCTCCTCTCCTCTCCCCTCCCCTCCCCTATCCTATCCTATCCTATTTTTATTCAACTTGCTGGGTATCTGTCATTCTATTACAACATCTCACTGATACAATCGCCTAACAACTCAGAATGGTATCTCTGCTGATACCATCAACATTTTGTCTTTACTAGGAGTATAAACACCATTATTTTTGTATGTGTTCCACCATTTTCGACAGCAAATCTAATATTTCATTGAGTTGGAAATAAGCCTGGCTGTGTTTAGCGAGGCATAGAACAGATCTACGGCTTCAAAACATCTGAAGTATTTGCCACTCCTTCGTTCCACACAATAGTTAAGGGGGGTTGATCGTTCCAGGAGAGAAAATATACCAGTTGGGGTGATATGCCGTTGGGTTAGAACTGGGCCTGGAATCATCGAATTTCCTGTCTTTGAAGCTCGCGAAATGAGTTTGAGCCGCAGGAATTCCGTGATGTCCCACTGCAATTGAGGCCAGAATTTCCTGTTCAAATCTGCCTTGGTTTATCAAACTGTAAAATATACATAAAATAATGGGCCCCGCCCCGCCCCCCACCCCGCAGAGGTGGGATTCAGCAGGTTCTGACCAGTTCTGGAGAACCGGTAGCGGAATTTTTTTTTTAGTATTATTTTAAAGTTTTTTAAGACAAACATTTAATACATCAATCCTCTCTTCCCTGGGACATCTCGGTATTATCTTCTAGGCTTCTTCTCCATCTTCCATAAGTTTCTTCTATCTTCATCTTTGTCCAAACCATTCTAACATTTCATTGCTAAATCAATATTTATAATCATAATTATTATGGTATCAGTCATTTATATCTCTTTTCCAACCAACTATAAAAATAATTCCATGTTTTAAAATATTCTGATTCTTCCTTATCTTTAATCATCAGAGTTAATCTATTCATTTCTGGACAATCTAAAAAATTTTTTTATTACTTCTTCTTCCAAAGGTATTTTCTCTGATTTCCAATTTTGAGCATACACAATTCTTGCAGTTGTTATTACATGTATGATCAAATATACATTTTCCTTACTAATTTTTTTCTGGAAAGATACCCAGTAGGAACAACTCTGGTTTAAATTCAATATGTTGCTGTATCATTTCTTCCAGACAGATTTTAATTTTTTGCTTTGGGACAAGTCCTCCACATATGGAAATTTAGCGGAAATTTTGAGTAGTTCGGAGAACCGTTAGATCCGGTCCAAACCGGGAGCATTTCACCCCTGGTGCAAGGTCACTTTTTTCATTACTGTTATAACTTCAGAGGGTCACTAAATGAACTGTTGTAAGTCGAGGACTACCAGCGTAGAAATTTCCGACGGCATGGTTTTGAACCTTACTGCCTCTTATACGATGCATGTGATTATTGTTGTTTAGATCACTCTGGCTAACGATTCAGCTTTGCCAAAATGGTTAGAATATCGTATTTCCTCCACAAATGCACGCGAAGGGATGCCGTGGACGGACGAGAAGGGCGAAGAATTTCATCTGACTGTTGTTGCCCACGGCGAGGCGTGTGAAATTCCAACCGGAAAGGCAGATGTTACACTCCACGGTCCAGATCGTATTTGCGTCCATGCGAAGAACATGTAAGTTGCGTTGACAGGTAGGGACGATGGGTTTTGATCATCTTGATATGGGTCTGTTTTCAAATACCTACAACGTTGACTTCAAAAGTGCTTTTTCAGGAGGCGACTGGACTTCCTTGTTTTTTTCTTTTGAAGACGTTTCGCTTCTTATCCCAGAAGCTTTTTCAGCTCTGACTGGATGGTGGGGAATGGAAGGATTGATACTCCTTGCAGACAGCTGGACGTTTGCATCCTTTTAGAGGTCATTGAGGCCACTTGGAGGTTTATCTGTGTCCTCAGGGTCACCTGAGTGATGTTCCTGGTTCCTGTAGTCTTCAATTTTTCCCCTCTGGAAATCCATTCCTATTCCCACACTATTCAAAGGGAGTTCATCCCAAACTGTATAGCTAAAAGTCTGTAGGGATACTCCATCATCCAGATGATGGTTGTCCCAAAGGTGCTTGTTTTTTTCAGGAGGCAACTGGCCTTTCTTGCTTTTTTTCTTTGGAAAAACAAAAGTCAGAGCTGAAGAAGCTTCTTGGATGAGAAGCGAAACGTCTTCAGAAGGAAAAAAACGAAAAAGTCCAGTTGCTTCCTGAAAAAGTACTTTTGGGACAACCAGGACCTAGAGGATGGAGAATCTCGACAGACATTGCCTATAGAAGACAATAAGGGCTTGGTCCATCCATTTCAGAAGTAGAGATCCATTGATGGAATTGAGTTGCGTTCAATCTCAGATGTTCCTATTGCTCATTGAAATTCTCACATGGCCACCTCCTTCTTTTCTCGGTGAAGGACAGGGTGAAATAGAGATTAATGGGAATTTTTCCTATTCTTTTGTTCACAGTGACTTAAATAGATCCAAACACAATCCATTAATAGCAAAAAAAAAACAAACAAACCACTAATTCTGGATCTGAACTTCTGAAAACATCTTCCCTTCATAGGAACTTTGAGAAGTTCTTCTTTCTATCTAGGAGCAAAATTAGAATTCCTGTGTATCCTTCTCTGCTTTATGGGAATGTTGGATCCTGCCGTGAGTGTCCCATCAATTGTGTGCAAATCTATAAGGTAGATTTCTTGGTAGACTAGAGCAGGGGTCTCCAACCTTGGCAACTTTAAGACTTGTGGACTTCAACTTCCAGAGTTCCTGGAAACTCTGGAAGTTGAAGTCCACAAGTCTTAAAGTTGCCAAGGTTGGAGACCCCTGGACTAGAGCCAATATTTTTTTAAAAAGCAGGCCAGTAGGTTTTAAATAAGCTAAAAGTGATGAAGAATAAATTATCAAATAAAGTGTACATACTCCACAATAGTTATAAACTGTCCATTTTAAAAGACATGTGTTAGTACAAATTTGGAACCCGGCCCAATATTTCTTTTTAACCTAATCTAAGAGCCACTTTTTAAATTATACCTTAGACGCTAACATTTTCATTGATTAGGCTTTTGAGAAATATATCCTAACTTTATGATTGCAATCATAAGCATAAATACTTAAGAATCAATATACTGTATTTTTCGGAGTATAAGATGCACTTTCCCCCCACAAAAAAGAGGGTGAAAATTTGGGTGCATCTTATACACTGAATGTAGCCCCTCCCACCCGCCGGCCCCTACCCTTTGGCCTCTGCCTCCCAGCAATTTGCCTCCTTGCAGCAAACAGCAAACAGCCCATTTCAGTTTCAGCTTCAGCACAGCCTGATTAACACAAGCAGCTGATTGTCGGTTGGATCGGCCTCCCAACCATCAGTTGTTTCAGGCTGCAGGGATTGTCATTGCCTATTGCCCATTCCGATTCCCACCACCCAAAACGGGTGGAAAATGGGGCGTGCAGAGCAGTAGTGGGATTCAAATCCCGGCGCTACCGGTTCATTATCAGTAGTCCATGGGCGCACGCTCTCGCTTTGTGAGTGCGTAGTGCTTCTGCGCATGCACAGAGTGTTTTTGATGACATCTGGGTAGGTGAGCAGAGCCTCCCGCCACCGCCACTACCAGTTCACCCAAACCGGGGTGAACCAGGAGCAACCCACCACTGGCGCAGAGGTTGAAAACTGAGGCGGCAATAGGCTATGGCAATCTGTGCAGCCTGAAACAGCTGATCCTCAGGAGGCCGATCCAATTGACAATCAGCTGGTTGTGCTAATCAGGCTGTGCTGAAGCTGAAACTGAAACGGGCTGTTTGCTGTTTGCTGCAAGGAGGCAAATTGCTGGGAGGCAGAGGCAGATTATTTTTCTTGTGCTAATCAGGCTGTGCTGAAAATGAAACTGAAACAGGCTGTTTGCTGTTTGCTGCAAGGAGACAAATTGCTGGGAGGCAGAGGCAGATTTTTTTCCTTGTTTTCCTCCCCCCAAAAGGTAGGTGCGTCTAATAGTCTGGAGCGTCTTATACTCCGAAAAATACGGTATATAATGTTGAGTAGATCTGGAAAATGTTAAATTATAATTCCATTTTTTAAAAGGTATCTGTCTTTTAATAGTATTTGTTTTGGGGGTTTCAGTATTTGTTCTGGAGATTGGCATGCCAAACATGTTTCTATCACCTTCGCTGAGATCGTACTTCGAACAGATCACACTCCAGAAATTAAAGAACAACTCAATCTGATTTGCACCATGGCAGAATATCTCCACTTGGATCCTTCCTCACTCACGCTTATCCCAGTCGAAAACTCCCTAAATAAGTATTTTCAGAATCTAACCGTATTGGCTGAAGATATCAGATACATCAACTCTACAACAAGCCATCATGTAGGACTCTGTTGGCCAGTTGGGTTGGGGGTGTTTGCGATGCTGTCTGAATTGGTGCGAGTTCTGAGCCACAGTGTCGAGTCGGACAATCTCTCGCGGCTCCTGGGCTATGAAATTGTCGGCTGGAGAGTCCTTAAACAAGGTTATGAAAAAAGAAACCCCAACAAGTGGCAGAAGAGGAAAATGGCCACCCCGAAACCTACATGGAGACCAACCCAAACTCAGAACTTCACCGTTTTGATAGCTACTGTGCCAGAGACACATTCAGTTGTGAAATCCGTAGCAAGTTCATCACTTGTCAATAAAACCACTTTCTCTATTATCCATCCTTACGTGGACCTCAGTACACAACCTGTAATCGTCGATATGGATTTGGAGACCCCTCAGGTCTCCAAATCTACCATGTTTCACTATCTCTCTTCGGAGCTTTCGCCTTCCTTGATGCTAAGCTCCACAGAATTTGACGAAAAGGGGACTTTTGAAACCCCACCAATATCAGAGCACCTATCGTACGAAGCATTGCTAGATACTTCAACACAAGAGGATTTGTCCACAACTCAAAAATGTGAACCGAAGGATAATTCCACATTCTATTACTTCAGCTTGTTCATGCCTAGGACCAAAAGTCAGTTCTCAAACTCTGTTCACCACTCAAGGGACATTTTACCAGAAGAAATGTCTTCTACATTATCATCTCCAGAACTTTTCTCAGGAGAATTAAGAAATCTAAATGACCATAGCCCGTTCATGCATCGAACAGTGTCTAGATTTAAATCTGGAGATGTCATTTCTATAAGCGAACTTTCTCTGCCTTCCATGGTGACGTTAGCATATTTAAGGATATCATCTTCATCACCATCTAAACTGTCATTTTCTAGTGTTGCAATATATCTGCCCTTCTTACATGACAGCTATCAGAATCCAAAATTACTGAATGTCTACACTTCTGTCTCAGAGACTTTTATAACATTAGCACCAACAAAAGAGATAGACGCTTCCGAATTGATCAAAAGCTCCATCTCAACCAACATCCCATCCATAGTTGATGCTATCGTTGCAAATGGTGATTTTAATCCCAAACCTGGTTCTCCGTCCGATGGAAGCCCAACTCAATTATATTACTGTAATAATGATCTAACATCATCAAAACATTCCACAGATACGTTAAATAACAGTGCTTTCTTCTCCAGTAAAACTCTGCTAATATTTAGCCTCCTGTCTAAATCAATTATTAACCCCATGCTTTTTCCTTCTTTCTCCTTATCAGTTCCACTGGAATTGACATTATTGTTTGGATCTAGTAATATATCCCCGATGGAAAAATTGCCCGAGAGAAGACAGGTTAGCTCAGACGGAATAAACACCCGTGAATCTTTTACAACTATTCCGTTAACCTACAGATTTGTTACGACAGGAAACAGTGTTTTAGTAGTTAGGAAAACTGAAACGGACACTTTCCTGCGGATAAAAGGAACAACTCTGCTTTCTATCACAACATCCAGTGCTGTTATCTTAAGCGGCAGATTCCTTAGTCAAGGAGAGAGGTCTCATAGAAAAAGCCAGGCATTGGAGTTGCTCTCTTATGGATCTTCATGGATTACTCGCCCTCTAGAACTTGCTAACACCTCCAGTTATCATTTTTCTACAAATCAGTGTGACTCTATCCACAATTTAGTTCGGACTCCCGTGTTAGAACCTGTTGCTTTGCAACGGGATATAAACAATTTAAGTTTGGAAAGTTCGTTTGGAACCAAAACAAACGTCCAAATTACAAGAGAAATTGTCTCAAAATTGAAAGAAGCGGACATTGTTTTCAGCCGCGAAGGAGTATCCACAGAGAATGGACTTCACGCCACTACTCTGTACCAGGAAACACAAGGTAAGTCGTGGGGTTAATTAGTTCAGGTAGTCCTCAACTTATGACCACCATTGAGCCCAAAATTTATGTTGTTGAGCAAGACACCCCGTTTTACGATCTTGTTGTTAAGTGAACCACTGAGGTTGTTGAATTGGTCACACAGTCATTAAGTGAATCTGGCTTCCCTGTTGATTTTGCTCGTCAAGAAGGTTGCAAAAGAGGGAATCGTGTGACCACCACTCCCCCGGAACGCTGCGACCGTCATCAGTGTGAGTCCGGTTTTTTTTTTAATTTGATTTATATGCCGTCCTTCTCCGGAGACTCAGGGTGGCTTACAATGCGTTAAGCAATAGCCTTCATCCTTTTGTATATTTATACAAAGTCAGCTTATTTCCCCCACAAACTGGGTCCTCAATTTACCTACCTTAGAAAGGATGGAAGGCTGAGTCAACCTTGAGCCTGGCGAGATTCGAACCTGCAGTAATTGCAGGCAGCTGGTCTTAATAACAGGGTGCTTTAGACCACTGTATTACCAAGGCTCCTTGGTCCGTTGCCAAGCATCCGAATGTAAATCCCACAATCGTGGGGATGCTACGACGGTTCTAAGTGTGAAAAATGGTCTTAAGTACCATTGTCACTTCAAAGGGTTATTAAACGAACTGTTGTAAAATCCATACCTGTATACATTTTTAGTACATGTGGTGCAGTAGTGGGTTTCACTTACCTTCGCTACCGGTTCGGAAGTGTGAGTGCGCACATGCGTCGGTGATGACATCCAGGCAGGTGGGTGGAGCCTCCCACTGCCACCGCTACTGGTTGACCCGAACGGGGGCGAACCAGTAGAAACCCACTCCAGGAACTAAGTAACGATTACTGAGGTACCACTGCAATACAAAACTATTTAGAAAGTACATTTGAACTCTTAAAAAAAAGTCCTATCCATAACTTGGAAATAAGGAGCCTTCAATATGAAACGGGGGTCCATCTCTTTCTAGACAAGTCAACCAGGGGCATCTAGAAAGAGCCCAGTTGCCTTCTTCATCGTTGGATAGATTGCTTCTCCCAAAGATGCTTTTTTCAAGAGGCAAGTGGACTTTCTGATGTTCTGGAATCTTCAGCTTCCAGAGCTGTAGATGCTTCTTGGATGAGAAGAGAAACATCTTCAAAGAAAAACATGAATTCCAGTTCCCTCTTGAAAAAAGCACTTTTGGGACTACCATGACCTGGATGATAGAGAATCTAATTCACGCAGCAAAGAGCGTCTTAACTTCCTGCGCCTGTGTATGGTTTGCCAATTGCCCAGTGGCACATAGGACAGTGCTCCAGAGGGTCAACGTCATTGCCCAGAGGATTGTTGGTTGCCCTCTCCCCTCTTTGGAAGAGCTTGATAGCTCCTGCTGCCTTAAGAAAGTTCAAAACGTTCTTCAAAGATCCATCGCATCCTGGCCACTCCTTATTTTTTGAACTATTACCGTCTGGCAGACGGTACAGGACAATAAAAACAAGGACAAATAGGCTGAAAAACAGCTTCTATCTTAGGGCAGTTACTATGTTGAATTCTACTGTATAGTGCAATATTAATGCAATATCATAGGTTTTCAATTCAATTGTATAAAATGTGAAGGGTGTGTGTTTGTGTTTTATTTTTATAGGTTATGATGTACACTGAAGATGGCATTTAATTTCGTTGTACGAGGTGCAATGACAATAAAGCAAACTAACTCATTTTTATACAGGTCAGCCAAACACTCCTCCCAGGGTCATTCACGCCATTAAGTGGATCGCAGCAACTGTCGGACACGAGTTCTCGTTTTCAATACCGCCAGAGACATTTTATGACCAAGAAGACGGGAATTCAACTCAGCTGAACCTCGGAATGAACTCGGTCGACGGCTGCCCGACAGATCCGGAAAGCTGGTTACAATTTAATGCCAGGGATCAAACTATGTCTGGTTATCCACTTGATCCCGATTTCCAGTATTCCCCTCAAGCGTTTTTACTCTTTGCCATAGATTCGGGAGGATTAAAGACCGAAGATAAATTTGTCGTAGAAATATTCAAACCAACTATTATCCCGTGCCACGTTTATACGGTAATCGCAACCAATAGCTACCACTCATTCCTGAAAAACAGAAGTAGGATTCACTTCTTTTTAAAGAAACTTTCCGATTATTTGTTGGCGGAGAGTCCCGGGGATGTGGTCCTGCTTCATCTCAAAAGTGGATCCGCCGTGTTCATGTGGTACAACAAATCATTTTGCTCAAAGACTGAGAACTGTGCAAGAGATGACATCCAGGAGGTGCTCACCAAACTAGGAAGGCCTGGAGAAGACGTCCATCCAGATTTCGCGGAGGCCATGTTGCCAGAATTCACAATTGAACAAATCGGAGAGGTGGGATACGCTGGGATTTGCTTGTCCACGACCAAACCAACAAACGAGTCTGTAGTGTTCAACAGGACTCTCACTGGGTTTAAAGGCAGCAACTGTTGGATAACAAACGCACTCTTGGCCTTGTTAATTGTTGTGTGTTCCACAACTCTAGCGTTCCTCATAGTTGTCCATTGTCAGAAGTATCGCAAGAAAACATTTCAACCGCAGTGTCCACCTACCTGTGGCCGCGTCGACTTCAAGATGGACATGCAGACTTCGCGCAAATCTCCTCTACTGGAAGAGGATGTTCCTCCATCGACTCGGTTACCCGTGTCAATGGTTTCTCAACAGTGTTCCTTCAGAGCAAATCAAGGTCTGGTTATCTCAAGGCTTCCACCTCCTCCAAAGTATAGACTTCCGCCATTGTATGGAAGAAGGGATCCCGGATGATCCTACTCGCTTCTTCCAATGCAAGTCTATTCTCATTTATTTATTAAATTTATATGCTGCTCTATCCTGCGATCCAAAGCGAGCCTATGTACAACTCTATCTGAAATCTGCAATTCATTTATTCTTTTTATACCTTCTAGCCCAGGGGTGTCAAACTCAATCTCATTGAGGGCCGCATCAGGGGGGGCGGGGGGGCGTGGTCGACTGGGTGGGTGTGGCCATCTTGATGCCACTCCCCAAACTGCTGGCATATTTCCTCTTTGCATTGGGTAGACCGGGCTGAAGCCACACTGGCAGGCCCCTTAGATTTTCCAGGATGGCCCCGCGGGCTGGATCCGACCACATCATGGGCCGGATCCGGCCCGCAGTCCTTGTGTTTGACACCCGTCCTAGCCATCAAGAAATTGACCGTTTTTTTCTGCAAAAAGTTCCCCGTATAATTAATTATACATTTGGATATGTTATTCCAAATGTCGTGATAAAAATCATGTAGCTAACTAAGAACCTTCCCCGCTACCCCTTCAATAGGAAGGGATAGTGGTTCCATATTTTGGTCACCAGCAGAGTATTACATACCCGTTCTTGTGTTTGAGTTGTGATGATAGCATCCTTTGTAGGCAAAGGCACCGAGACAATGCTATCTATTTTATACTGTTTAAAAAAAGGAAGACTTCCTCTTTAGACATGCCCATTAGTGGAGCCCTCATTGTTAGAGCTGGTATTTGTTTATTAATCAAATTGATAAATTTGATTAATAAATAAATTGAATTTGAAATAAATTCCAATTTATCAATTTGATTAATGTATCTCACCAAAGGTGACAAATGAGAATTAGAAGAAGAAATAAAAATAAAAAATGTACAATATATAAAAATCTTACAGGCAGTCCTCGATTTACGACTACAATCGAGCCCAAAATTTATGTTGTTCAGAGAGACAGTTGAGTTTTGCCTCATTTTACGACCTTTCTTCAGTTATTAAGTGAATCACTGCAGTTGTTATGTTCATAACATGGTTGTTAAGCGAATTGGGATTCCCCGTTGACGTTGCTTGTCAGGTCGCAAAAAGGGATCACATGACCCCGGGATACTGCAACCGTCATAAATACGAATCAGTTGCCAAACATCTGAATTTGAATCATATGACCACGGGGAGGCTGCAACGGTCATAAGTGTGAAAAAATGATCATGTCCCTTTTTCCAGTGGCATTGTAACTTCAAACGGTCACTAAATGAACTGTCGCAAGTCGAGGACTACCTGTGACATATCAGAAAAGAAAAGAAACCACAGGAGGAGGAGGAGGATTTTAAAAAAATGAAGGGAGGGATTTCCTCTTAAGGGACAAAAAGAAAACTTAAATTGTAATTCTAAGTAGAATAGGTTGAGTTAATCCTTTCCTCATAGCCCCATCTTAAGTGATCATGAAGGTTTAATGTCAACTCGCAAAGCATCCCTGGCCTGCTCTTGAGTTGCAAGGGGGATGGGAAAACGGCAAAGCAGCACGGCAGCCAAAAACAAAAGCACATTCCAGACATATCTCTCTCAAGGCTCTCTCCCAGGGTTACACACAGTGGCCGGAGGGGAGTGATCTCTACAATCCATAAAATTGCTCTGTTGGCGAATGTGACTGATGACACACCCTGGGGGGAAAACAGGGTCAAGTCTGGGCCATAAATTATGTGGGGTCAGAGTTGGCTTCATTGGAACACTGACAGCAAGCCAACTTTGCCCCCACGTAATTTGGCCAGACTTGCCTCACTGCAACACAAGAACTAGCCAGTTCACACAACATGTGAGTTTCCTTAAGTGGTTTTCTACGGAATTGTGGTCTAAAACAGCCTTATCAATCTTAGCAACATTACAATGTGTGGACTTAAACTCCCAGAATTCCCCAGCAAGTATGGATGACGTTAACAGAATTTCACTAAAAGCCTGGACTCTGAAGTATAGCAATGTGATTTAAACCAAAGAAAAAACTCAAGTAGCAAGCATTGTGATTTTCTTAAAAAAAAAAAACAATCCAGCAAAGTCCTTTTTATGCAGTCGTAAAGATCTGAGTGTAAATTGAAATTCTCTTTGGTTTTAAGAGTCAAATGGGGTTTGGAACAAATAGTATATTTTATTTTGCATTTTCATACAAAAGCGCTAAAATTATTACAAAAATGTAAAAAGCAATCGAAGTAACAGAACTGTACAGTTAGATAGAGATATCAAATCAGGCATTCAAAGTTTACAGATCGTGAACAGAATTCACTGCCGGCTGGGTTTCCCATTTTCTGTGGTTTCCATTCTAAAACAAATCAAAATTACAAGGTTAAATGAATATCTTTGTCATTTATCTAAAAATCAGACAATGAGGCTGAGTGTCACATTTATTGTTTCGCTTTTAAACCTAAAAAGAGGTACAACCTTAAAAATTATGTGGAGAGAGCAGGGTAGAATAAAAACAGAGCAAACATTGTAGTTTCTGGACAGTAGTTCCTGGACTGATGGGGGTTTTAATTCTAATTTAATTTTAACTTGTTAGTCTTCATTGTACTTTTGACTATTAAATTATGAGATTTGGATTTAATTGTTTAACTTTTTATTAGATGTTTCTTAACTGTTGTGAGCCGCCCTGAGTCCGGCTGGAGATAGGGCGGCATATAAATCTCATTAATAAATAAATAAATAAGTTCCATTATAGCCAATTTGCAACCATTATTTAATTCAGTTTTCCTTATATGTGCAACTCTTGCTGAAGATCAACTTATTTTATCTTGCTTTAGAATCAACTGAATTTTTGGGGATGGAAGTTTATTTCATCAATCCATAGCACAGGATCGAAATAAGCAGTAAATACCCATCACAATTAGACTGATGGGAAGCAAAGCTGATTGTCCTGCATTATTCAAGGCCAGCCAGCTCTTATAAACTTCAATTTAACATAAATTTCCAAGCTGGTTTATGTACTCTTCAACTTTAATTGCCGTTTTAGAATAGAACAGAATTCTTTATTGGCCAAGTGTGATTGGACACACAAGGAATTTGTCTTGGTGCATACGTTTTAAGTTTAGGAATTCGGCCTGGGGATTTCTGTTGAGTTTAGGAAATTAAGTATATTCTTAACATACTGCTTTTTATCAAACAACCAATGTCCATATAAATTTGCAAGACGATTATTTGCAACAATTAAATCTTTGAAATTTTTCAACGGTTGAATAAAATGTTCGTCTTTTTGCTCTTTATATATAATTCTTATTGTAAATGGCAAACATATACATATACATACACACACACACACACACAATCCTCTTTTAATGATCCCATAATCCCTTGCGGGGTGGAGTCTGGGCAATTGAATCAGTGATGAAATCTAAAATTTATGACTATCGGTTCTGTGGGCATGGCTTGGGGGGGAGGGGGGTAATGTGACTGTGTGAGCGTGGCCAACTTTTTTTTTTTTTTTACTTTTAAAACCGAAGAAGAGGTTGTATAAAAAATGTTTTTAAAAGAAAAAAAAGCCTCTGCCGATCAGGCAACTCAGCTGGGATCGTCAGAGGCTTTTAAAAGCATTTTTTCTACAACCTCTTTGGCCAAAGAGGTTGTAGAAAAAATGCTTTTAAAAGCCTCTGACGATCCCAGCTGAGCCGTGCGATCATCAGAGGCTTTTTTTTTTTTTTACTTTTAAAAGCATTTTTTTCTGCCGAAGAGATTGTAGAAAAAATGCTTTAAAAAAAAAAAGCCTCTGATGATCGCACGGCTCAACTGGGCGGGGGAGGGGGGGGAGGGAGAGATTTTTGCTGCCGGTTCTCCGAACCACCCGCCTCCATCGCTACAGGATCGGGCAATCTGGTCCGAACCGGCAGCATTTCACCCCTGAATTGAATAGAGCTAGCAGAGTGATTTAATGGCTGGATGATGTTCCTGTTGCCAATGCAGAGTTATGTTCAGTAGATATATTCTCATTGTGCCGAGGGAGAAATATCTGCCTCTACCTAGGATTGAACTCAGCCTCCTGACTGTGAGGTGAGAGCTCCACCTCTGGGCCACCGCACCACACACACACACACACACACACACACACACACACACACACACACTAACAGAATATCTTAATGCCATCATTCTGAACAAAGACAAGTGAAGCTCAATTACCTTGCATATTACTTATTAAGTTTACACTTTAATGTACTGATGGGCAAAATGTTCAGATACGTTATTAACCAGAAATAACCCCCCATCCTGTAGCAAGCTATGTGGAGATACAAACCCGTTCTCCTCTTTAAGATGCTGGTACAGCTCGGCTTTATTGTTGACAGAACTTAAGCGGCCAATAAATTCTTGATGCTTCCTAGAATTTGCAGCATTAATCCTGTTGCTCCAAAGGGACAGAAGGGATATTGGCCCTAAAAGACAAAAATCCACAAAGAAAATCTAAGCGCCCTCCAGGTGCAGAATTTTTATAATCTGTTCAATCTACGATGCAACCATGGTGCTGGCTTATGCCTTGTTGAAATTAATACGATTAATGCCATGGGGATGAACTGACACCGAACAAGCCTATCCTTCGGGTTTTAATTCTACTCGCTTTTGTGGAATAAGTCCACGCCATAAATTCAGGCAGAATCTAAATAGGTAGGATGGATCTGCAGCTGTTTGCTTCATAAAAGTTTAAGTGCAGTCCGTACAATCATTCTGTTCCTTAAGTGCACATTTTTTGCTTATACATAAAAAATATGCCCTCCTGTTCACCGGTTCACTTTTTTTGGATGGCTTGAAATGATTTGGATTTTTATTTTTGTACCTTTGTTTTTTTCCGGCCCTGGCAAGTCATCCATTGCAACAAGGGGCTTCTTGTTGGGGGGCTCCGGGGAATCCGGTGAGTCTTTAATGACTTCTGCTTCTGCAAGTTCCTCTTTTTCACGATCCAATAAACCTTTTAACCTGCAGAGACCAAGAGAAAATTACTCGGTGACCTCGCGGATGCTGGGATGACCCGGGGCACAGCACAGAGGCAACACAAGTCAGCTGATAATTCAAACTACCCCTTTATTGCTCCAACGTTCCCCAAAAAAGCTCCCACGTTTCTGGCAAGCCCCAGAGCAAAGTGATCACACCACACGGACACACACCTCCAGCAGCCTCTGGCCGCAAGTAGTCCAGCCCAACGCTGTGAGCACAACCACTGCAAAGCAAGAAATCCAGCGGGGCAAGGGAATAAGTCAATGAGTCCAGGAAGCAAAGGAATAAGGCAATTAATCCAGGAAGGAAGGAAGGAAGGAAGGAAGGAAGGAAGGAAGGAAGGAAGGAAGGAAGGAAGGAAGGAAGGAAGGAAGGAAGGAAGGAAGGAGTCCATGCGAATCCATCAACCCTGAGAAGCTCACCTTTCTGATTCCTGCCAAGATTTTTCCGATTCATAATCTTTCCCCGCTTTCTCGGACTTGTCCTCTTTTTCTTCTCTCTTCCTGCCTCGTTTCTTGCGCTCTTCTTCTTCAGGAGGTTTACTTCTGCAAGTCAGAAGACACTCCAAGACCCGCTGGTGTTTATCCGAGTTGGCGATGTGAGCCCTAACAAGGGTCTCCAGTTCATTCCACATGATCCTGTACTGTTCGTCCCTGAACGAGAACACAAAGGAGGGATCCCAAAGTAAACAAAAACAACAACAACAACGGAGCTCCCACATCGAATTTTACTTTTACTTCGGTTGTTTTCTTTTTTCTGGAGGCCCAAAATTTATCAGTCTATCTCTCTCTCTCGTCCATCTATCTTCTACAGTATCTATCATCTCCTCCTCTCTCATCTGTCTGTCTGTCTGTCTATCTATCTCATCTATTTATCTCTGTCTGTCTGCCTGCCTGCCTATATCTATCATCCATCCATCCATCCATCCATCCATCCATCCATCCATCCATCTACCTACCATTATCTATCATCTATCTATCTATCTATCTATCTATCTATCTATCTATCTATCTATCTATCTATCTACCTACCTACCTACCTACCTACCTACCATTATGTATGTATCTATGTGTCTATGTATGTATCTACCTACCATTATCTATCATCTATCTATCTATCCATCCATCCATCTACCTACCATTATCTATCTATCTAATATCTATCTATCATCTATCTATCACAATTGAGCCCAAAATTTCTGTTGCTAAGGGAGACAGCAGTGAATTTTGCCCCATTTTCCAACCTTGCTTGCCACAGTTGTTAAGTGGATCACTGCAGCGGATCACATGGTTGTTAAGTGAATCTGGCTCCCCCACTGACTTTGCTTATCAGAAGGTCACAAATGAGGCCCATGATTTAATTAGGGCATCTGGAACCCTGACGATTATATGTTGGTGGTGGGAAGGAACTTGCTCATCTCTACATCCAAAATTTCATTTTAATTACATACTAAAAGATAAAAAAAATACACCCTTGCCTTTTCGGGCCCTTCCCTCTCGTTCCAACGGTGGATATGGGCAAGGGATCATTTTTCCTTTCCATTTCTACCAGACTGTAAATGGTTTTCTGACAGGTGAGTACATCTTCATCCGTCAGGGCTTCTTTGACAATGACGCTGGCGAGTGGCACCACCTAGAAGATTAAAAAGAAACGAAAACGAAAATTCTTTGTGAATTTCCTCGATAAGCATATCAACTGTGATGCTCAAATTGGGTTTTCAATGGAGTGAATTGTTCGCATTGCTGAGTTTCATTATTGGATGGATTTCCAGGCCAATCACATCCAGCGACAGACAGAACCACAGAAGTCTCACAAATCTTATGAATGGTAACAGCTATAAGGAAGACATAACTTGGTTTCGTGTGAATGCTTTCACATACAGGTAGTCCTCGACTTACAGCAGCTCATTTAGTTACTGTTCAAAGTTGCGACAGCACTGAAAAATAGTGACTTAGGACCCTTTTTCAGACTTACGACCTTTCCAGCATCCTCGTGATCACGTGATCCAACTTAATAACTGTATAACTTAACCATCAAGCAATCATCCCAAGGACAGTCAATTGCCCAATATACTTTTTTTTTAAGTCAAGTTTTTTTTATTTATATATACAGTAAGTATTTTGAATACAGCGTATTGTCCGGCCGTACCATTTTACAGAACAACAACAAAAAAAGTAACAGATACACTGATAGTAGTAATGATAATACAACAGAATGATTCTAACCATATTTATAATTATATTAGCTTATTTATGATCCTATTAATTATATTAGCATACTTATAGTTATAAACAACATTAATATTTTACTTAAGCATAACAACACTCTAAGGGAGGCGGTGGCTCAGTGGCTAAGACGCTGAGCTTGTCGATCGAAAGGTCGGCAGTTCAGCGGTTCGAATCCCGAGTGCCACGTAACGGGGTGAGCTCCCGTGACTTGTCCCAGCTTCTGCCAACCTAGCAGTTCGAAAGCACTTAAAAAAATGCAAGTAGAAAAAATAGAGACCACTTTTGGTGGGAAGGGAACAGCGTTCCGTGCGCCTTTGGCATTGAGTCATGCCGGCTACATGACCACGGAGACGTCTTCAGACAGCGCTGGCTCTTCGGCTTTGAAACGGAGATGAGCACCGCCCCCTAGAGTCAGGAACGACTAGCACATATGTACAAAGGGAACCTTTACCCTTATCAACCCTCTTTCTTCATCTAATTTCTACCTCTCATCTCTAACCACTGATAAAACCTATTCCACCTTAAATAATATTCTGTATCTCCTTTATCTTTTATGTTCAATGTCAATCTATCCATCTCTGCACAATCCCAATATTTTCTGAATTATATTTTCATCTAATGGGGCGTGATTCCCCAATTTACTTGGAAGAGTTCCACCTTCAGTGAGATTTGAACATCTGCAAGTGAAACGTGCCCCGATGGCTGGGAACTCAAGGCCCCCAGGATCACCTACCGCCTGCATGTTGAATATGGTGGTCTGTGAAATAATCATGGGCCAGTAACGGGTGTGTTTCTCCAGCTGGTCTTTGGCACGTTCCAAGGGAACCTCGAGGCTCTCATCGTTCTTGTACCTAGGCTCTAGGAAAGGAGCGAGCCTATTTTCTCTCATGAATTCACCAAAATCCTACGTAGAAAAAATAAATAAAATAAAATACAATCAGCTGTCTTTCCAAGAGATAGCTAAAAGACGACGTCTGTTCTAGTCACTGCATCTTTTTTCATATTAAATTAACTCGGTTTGAAAGAGTTTGTTCACAGTGTTCAATGTAACAATATATAGAAAAATTTCGACTTAAAAAAAAAATTACTCGTGCGCTGTTTTCAAAAGCTGGGACATTCACACATTCTAGTGACATCGAATCTGTCATCACTGAGGATCAAGGATGGTTCATATCTCAGAGCCTATTTCTATTAGGATTGAAGCTTAGAGTTTAACCTTTGTGTTCTGACCCAGCTCCCCAAACACAACAAATCCTCTGTATTTAAATCAATGATTCCTTTATTAGGAGTGCCAGCAGCCCCGGCAAAAAGTTTCTATCAACGCAGGCTAACAAGTCTGTCTGGCCAGAAGATGAATAGTTTTCTGCCACATCTATTCATCTCCGCCCCCTGCTTTTTATCCCCAGAGCTAGCGTGGGACTTCACTAGCAGTTGGTAGCTCTTCCGTCCCAAGGACTGGCCCATAGATTTCCACTACTCTCCTCTCCTCTGCCTTCTGGCATTCGGGCATCAGGTTCTGGACCCAGTTGTTCCTCCTCTTCCTCATCAGCCACCTCCAGACCTGGGGGCTACTGACTCTCCATCTGAGGGATGATGGACAGCCCAGGCTCCGCCTCTCTCTCTCTCTCTGCCAGCTCCATTCCCTCTTCCCCCTCGGAGCTCTCAGGTTGCCTGGATGCTGGCCCTGACTCTCACGCCTCCTCCTCCTCCTCTGATTTGGCTGCTGGAGGGGCCGCCACACTTTGTTTTCGATTTCAGCCAAACTCACGGTAATCCTGTAGTCGGTGACTCGGCCCCCACATCCTTCACTTATGGAAGGGGGATCCTCCAGAATGGATCGAGAAGTGCTTAACACGTGCAGGAATATCTCCCCTCCGTGACTGCTCAGCATGTGACTGATTACTTTAGAGCCAGACTTGCGGGGTTGCTCCAACAATACAGAACGGCCTGTGGGGAAAAAAAGGAAAATATTTGTTCATTATTTTGCGTGATGATCTGCGCGACACCTAATCATCCTTCTGGTTTATAATAAAGAAGAAATCAATCAAGGAAGAGACTTCTAGACTCCAAGAAAGAGATTTTCCTACAGCGGAAGAAACATTCGAGTTAGATCGAAAGCTGCAGGTGAACAGGCATCATAAACTGGTGAATACTATGAAACCCAGCTATCCAAGGTTAAATTCAAGAGATGCTCGTTTTTGAAAAGACAATTTTACCACCAGTCAAACAGGACCACGGTATGTCTCCTTTGGGCATAGATTAAATGTTTATATGTAATTTTTTTTATTTTAAATTTGATTTATATGCCGCCCTTCTCCGGAGACTCAGGGCGGCTTACAATGCGCTAAGCAATAGCCTTCATCCTTTTGTATATTTATACAAAGTCAGCTTATTGCCCCCACAATCTGGGTCCTCATTTTACCTACCTTAGAAAGGATGGAAGGCTGAGTCAACCTTGAGCCTTGGAGAGATTCGAACCAGTAGTAATTGCAGGCAGCTGTGTTAATAACAGGGTGCTTAGACCACTGTACTATCAAGGCTCTTTTGATTTGATATATTGCTACTAAAATGAGACTTTGGAAAAAGTGCAGAGAAGAGCAACTAAGAGGATTAAAGGCCTGGAGACTAAAACATATGAAGAACGGTTGCAGGATTTCGGTTTGGCCAGTCTAGAGAAAAGGAGGACTACAAGGGGGAGACAGGATAGCAGTGTTTCAGTATTTGAGGGGCTGCCACAAAGAAGAGGGGGTCAACTTATTTTCCAAAGGACCAGAGGGCAGGACTGAATCCAACCTCTGCCTCAGATGATGTTTCTCCCAGTTCAATCCCAAATGCACCGTCAGTAAATGGCAATCTTTGTTTCGTATGAAGGTTGAGTGAAAATGTTTTACCGTTAAGAAGAAAGTTGGTTAGGCAAGAAGAAGGCCGGCTGTTCACATCGACGGGGGATATTCTGTACGCTCCGGTGCAATAATGCAGTTCTGGGGGGGGAAAAAAGAATTTTTACAATTCTTAGAGAATAACTGAACTTAATTAAAAGTCATATTCTTTACAGAAAGAGTTTGAAGTTGTCATTCAGGCAAGTTTGTTGTTTAAAAAACATGACCCTGCCCCATGGCCATAATTTAGAAGGGGAAAAAAAGGAACAAATAGGACAATCTCTAGGATTAAGTAACACGTGAAAAGCTTTAGATGAAAAATGGATATTTACCGACACTATTTGTTCTGGGGGTACACCATTTTAAAGTGATGGTTTCTTTGAAAGTTCCCTCTTTGCTGCTGCCACCCATGTGATTATCACCTGCGATACACAGTTGGAAGATTGATTAATATAACTTAAGGATATTTTAATAGCAACACGAGTGAAAAAGGGGACAAAATAACGGTCTTGCTACAACAAGCATTAATTAAGGAAAAGAAGAATGCAGGCCCCATTATATTCTGAAGACTGATCCACTGGCATTAATATTACTCTGAAAGACACAGTGACACTGGTTTGAATCCAGGAACATTTTGAACAGAGATTTCTCATTTTTCTTTCTACAAAACTTCCTTGGATGTCAAAATATAATTTTTTTTTTGCTGGTGCAAGAAATGCTGTGGGTCCTAGCCAGTAAGCTTGGATGCTTTAAAATGATATATATAGCGATAGCACTTCAATTTATATACCACTTCACGGTGCCTTACGGCCCTCTCTAAGAGGTTTACAGAGTCAGCACCTTGCCCCCCAACAATCTGGGTCCTCATTTTACGACCTCGGAAGGACGGAAGGCTGAGTCAACCTTGAACCGATTAGGATCGAACTGCTAGCAGTGGGCAGAGTTTAGCCTGCAATACTGCATTCTAACTACTGCGCCACCATGGCTCATAGATGTTCCTTTTGTTGCTGCTCTTGGAAAAAGTATAACATATCCTTATTTATTATCGTTTGTGAAATTTATATTACAGGTTGTCCTCCATTTACAACAGTTCATTCAGTGACCGTTTGAAGTTACAAGGGCCCAGGAAAAAAGAGACTTATGATCGTTGTTCACACTTATGACGTGATCAAGACTCGGACTCTTGGCAATGGCATGTACTTAGGATGGTTGCAGAGTCCCGGGGTCATATGATCTCCATTTGCGACCTTCCGGCAAGCCAAGTCAATGGGGGCAGCCTGATTCACTTAACAACCATGTTCCTACCTTAACAACTGCAGTGATTAACAACTGTGGCAAGAAAGGCGGTAAAATGGCGTAAAATTCATTTAACAAACGTCAGACATTTTGGGCTCAATTCTGGTCGTAAGTCGAGGACTACCTCAATAGATCATTAAACAGCCTGACAACCCTTATACAATGGTGAACTATTTTCTTGTTCCTTTGCAGATACAAAGATTTTATTTTTATTTTTTGCCATACTCACCGCTTTTTAAAAAGTCTACATGGGCTTCCTTATGATGTAGCAGTTCCACATCATAATTGGCAGAGGTGTTGGCATGTTGCTCTTCCTGGATTTTTTTTTTAAACAAACAAACAAACATTGTAACATTACCTGAACAAACATTTTTTTTTAATTTATTTTCTTTATTTTTTTTTTCAATCCGTAAAGGGACAATTCTACCTTTTGCCTTTTAATACAAAATTGCCAAAAGGGGGGGAAAAAATGCTTGCAACACGAATAGATTAGAATTCTGGGGGAAAAAAAGAGATGCCTTCTCTTATGAAAAAAGGACGTAGGCAGCTTGAGCCAACATTATGTTTACTCCAAAAGTCCTACATTGTTCACCTATTTTCACCTAGACACAAATTTCGGATTGCAAAAAAACCTCAAGGTTTCTTGAAATTAACTTTTTTCTGGCCTAGGGAGAAGCAAAGAGGCGAACTCGTTTTAATTGGCGACAAATTAAAATAAAAACACCAATATAAAAACAGATCCAGCACCCACTTCTGTCCAGCGAGTAGATGGCGGATAAGGAAGCTTTTCCATTACTTAAGGAATTAGCAGTAATCGAAAAGCTAGACATTGAGTGGTGCGGTGTCCCAGAGGTGGAGCTCTGGCCTCACGATCAGGAGGCTGTGAGTTTGATCCTGGGTAGAGGCAGATATTTCTCTCTCTGGGCATGATGAGAATATATCGGCTGAACAAAACTCAGGACTGGCAACAGTAAGGGCAGCCGGCCAGTAAACACTCAGCTCCGTTCAGTTGCCCAGACTCCACCCCGCAAAGGATTATGGGGTCGTTAAAAGATGATGAAAAGCTAGCCATTCTTAATTTTTTTTATGGAAGTTTGTTTTGGGGGGTGGGGGGGTTTAACAAGAGAAGCCACACATGATCATATCTGGCTGCCACAGCTGAAGCCTAGAAGCTGCATGCAGAAGGATTAAAAAAAAAAAAAAAGCACTAAAAAAAAAAGCACAATAAGCATTAAAAAAAGCAAAATATAAGCAGGGTTTTTGCAACGGCTGGGGCAGACCGACAAACATGATGTATATGGCAGATTAGCAAAACCAACCGACCGACGTAGGGCTTCGGGTTTTTTTTTTTTTTCAATGAATCATAGAGAAGAAAGAAAGGACAACAGGCAAGAAGAGAAAAGCAGAACGACAGCACGAAGGCCAGTCGGTTGCAAATAAGGTCTTTGCAAACATTAAAAGGCATCTAGTCGAGTGCAATTAAATGCAATTACAATGGCTAAAGCCCTCTGGGCTGAAATTGCGCTTGTGATCTGTACCCAGCAGATTTAGAATCCAGCAAACAATCCTGACTATTATTCTAACTTTTCCTTCTGTGCAGGTGTTTTATTTTTATTTATTTTTTTTAAAAACCAATGCAAACAGAAATACTTCACTTTCTCACATCTCCCCGATTACAATTCATCTATCTGGCTTCCTCGAGCAAGTCGTAATAAGGCCGATAAAGCAATGGGAAAATAAACTACTTTGTTAAAGAAGCTTTGCCCCATTTTGGGACCATGCTTGCCGCCGTTGTTAAGCGAATCACCGCAGTTCTTAAATTAGGATGCCGGTTGTTAAGTGAATCCAGCTTCCCCGTTGACGTCGCTTGTTAGAAGGTCGCAAAAAGGGGATTGCGTGAACCCCCGGGGACACAGCAGCTGCAGTGAGTCGCTTAACGACGGGGGCAAGGAAGGTCGTACAATGAGGCCAAGCTCACTTAACAAACGTCTCACTTAGCAGCAGAAATTTAGGGGCTTGATTGTGTCATAAGTGGAGGACTACCCTGTTTCCCCGAAAATAAGACCCAACCGGAAAATGTCCTAGCATGACTTTTCAGGATGCTCGTAATATAAGCCCTACCCCCAAAATAATCCCCGGTTAATATTGTCAGCCAGATGGATGCATTTGGTACCATGTTTTCCCCAAAAATAAGACCTACCCAGAAAATAAGCCCTAATGCATCTTTTGGAGCAAAAATTAATATAAGAGCGTCTTATTTTTCGGAAAATACAGTACCTACAGATATAGATATATAGATAATCTATATATATCTATAGGTAGTTAAGTAGGTAGCTAGGTAGAGAGAGAGAGAGAGAGAGAGAGAGAGAGAGAGAGAGAGATGAGAGAGAGGGGATAGATAGATAGATAGATAGATAGATAGATAGATAGAGGAATGTATAGAGAGATTATATAGGATAGAAATAGATGATAGACAGATTAGATAAAGATATATAGATATAGATGTAAATACCCTGTTTCCCCCAAAATAAGACCCAACCAGAAAATAAGTCCTAGCATGATTTTTCAGGATGCTTGTAATATAAGCCCTACCCCCAAAATAATCCCCAGTTAATATTGTCAGCCAGATGGATGCATTTAGTACCGTATCTCCCCAAAAATAGGACCTACCCAGAAAACAAGCCCTAATGGAGCAAAAATTAATATAAGACCCGGTCTTATTTTCAGGGAAACACGGTACCAGTAACAGAGCCTGATTTGGGGAAGGACTTTGCTTTCTTGCTTTCTACTTGTTACAAACACCTTCGTGTGTTGCGTGGACGTGGAAACGAGACAGAGGGGGAGAAAGGCTGGCTAGGTCACTAATATGCACAAGGGGCAGCAGGGGGGAAGATTCTAACACAGGCTTTGGAAACAAAAGAATCACAGACAAAGTCATTTGAAGCAAAATAAGGCTATTGTTCCCCCTAAAATAAAATTAAAATTCCAATGCCACATTAACAATTGAATAAATTGCTAAAAAGCCAAGAAGGCTCTTTGTTTGTTCTGTGATCCTTTTTTCTTTCTGTTTTTTTTTTTTTCTTTTCCCCTTCTTCCTCCTCCTCCGTCAAAATTTACTAACCTGGTCACAGACATTGAATGTAGGCTAATAAAAAGAAGAAGAAGAAAAAAAAACGAGAAACAAGAAAAAAAAAAGGCGATAATGAAGAGGGGGAAAAAAAAAAGCAAAGGCAATCATTTGCAGTAAAATTAATCGTAAAAAATAAAAAATAAAAACAACCCCGCTCGATGGATTTAAAAGGAACGCGGCCCGGTGGCTTTAGCGGGAGGAGGTTGTTCGGGGGGGGGGGGCTTACCTTCATCGGGATGTTAGTTATAGTGGTGGAAGCCAAATCGAAATGCTGCTGAACTAAAAGGTTCAGCCTGGTGGCCAGGTGACGTCCAGCCCGAACGCTATGGACTTCGCTGGTTAAAACAGGGCAGAGCTTTTTCAAAGGAAAGACAAAAGACACACACATATACGCGGACGTGGAATGGACTCCTCCGTAAGCCATCAATTCAGAGAACCATTTCTTTTTTTTAAAAAAATGTATTTCTTCCGTTTGGAAAATGTATATAAGCCCCACCCACCCCCTCTACTAGCGCTCACGGGGACTCTAGGCGGCTTACAGAAAATAAAAACACAAGGTAGAAGATAATATAATGGAATGGAATGGAATAATGTAAGAATATAATAATAAAATAAATAACATAACAAAATAATAAAATAAATAAAAAATGTAATATAATAAATATACCGTATTTTTCGGACTATACGACGCACCGGTGTATAAGACGCACCAAGACTTCGAAGAGGTAAGCAAGAAAAAAATATTTTTGCCCTCCCCAGCCCCCAGGAGCAGTCTGCAGGTCTCCCAAACCCTCTGCGCGCCCTGTTTTTTTTTTTTTTTTTGCAAAAACAGGGGCATTTTTGCCCTTCCCAGCCCCCAGCAGCAGTCTGCAGGCCTCCCAAAGGCTCTGCACACCCTGTTTTTGCAAAAACGGGACACGCGGGGCAGGGCTTCGGGAGGCCAAAAATGGCTGTATTCGGTGTATAAGACGCACCAACATTTCCACCCTCTTTTAGGGGAGGAAAATTGCATCTTATTGTCAACTTGCAAAGCTTTCAAGTTGCCATGAGCAGGAGGGAGGGAGAACTGAAGTGAATTCCATACATTCTTTCTGACCACAATCAGAAGGAGGGTGTTGGGTTTCACAGCCAGCCAAAGTAGTTAATTGGAGAATGTGATTTATGACATGGCCAGAGAGGAGGGGAGAGACAGGGTCATAGGGGAATGTAAATCTACGTAGGATCAGTCCTAACTGCATCCAAGTATTGCCGGAATGTTGCTCCTAATAAATGACTATGTTTCCTTTGAAGTTTGGATCATGGCTCATGAATTAATTAGGGCATCTTTCGGAAACTTGACACTTATACTCTGAAAAGTACGGTAATATATAAAATAAAAAAATAAAATATAAAATAAAGTAAAAAATAATAATAATATAACCCACACACGTACACCCGTCAGTGACAACACACACTTGAATCAACCATTTGATGGGCTCCATCGCACTTTGGGTTCCCCCCAGTCCCATTGAGAAAACCATGTCTTCAGGGCCTTCTAAAAGAGTGTCGCAATGGGGGCCAGTGTAATTTCTGAAGAGATCTGATATTCCACAAGGAGGGAGCCACCACGGAGAAGGCCCTTCTTCTGTGTCCTGACAGATGTACCTCCTTAGGGTGGTGGTGCAGTGGTGAGAGTGCACTATTGCAAGCTAACTCACTGCCCATTGCCAGCAGTTCGATCCTGACCGGCTCAAGACTGTCCTTCTGAGATGGGTAAAATGAGGACCCAGATTGTTGGGGGCAAGATGGTGACTGTGTAAACCGCTTAGAGAGGGCTGTAAAGGCACTGTGAAGCGCTATATAAGTCTAAGTGATAGTGCTATTCCTTGCTTTCCTGCTCTAGTGTGTCGGGTGGATGTGCCAGGTGAGAAACAGTACCTGTGTAAGCTTAACTGATGTTTTAAAGATACAACACACAAACCAATCTGAGTTTATACATTGATTTAAGAAACTTACCTCTTTTTTAAGATGATCGGATACAAGGCTTTCTTCTCCAACAGGATAAGTATGAATTAAAACCAGCTCGCATTTCTGGATCTGCATGAGACTGAAGAAGCCAAATTATTTTGTCATAAAATAAATAATGGCACATTCAATTGTTGAAGAAAACTGAAGACCAAAAACTTTCAGAGGTCACCGGAATGTTTACAGGATTGTGGTTCTTATTAAATTCAGGAAATATCTAGGCAGAAAGAATCTCTAATGCTAATCAATATTCTATGTACTCTCTGACATTTTTCTATGCAAATTTTCTGATAGGAGCATTTGGCCACCAATTTCTCATGACAATGGAGGATAGGTAAGGATTCTCAATCAACTGCCGTATTTCTCAGAAAATAAGACCGAGTCTTATTTTCTTTTAGACTTGAAAATAAGCACTTGGGCTTATTTTCAAGGCGGTCTTACTTTTTTTGAGATGCAGCAGGCCAGACTCGGTGAGCTGGATGCGCCATGGCCTCCATTCCAAACCTTCAGCTTTTGGAATGGAGGCTGTTTGGCGAACAGGAGGAAAATGGGGAGGGGGATTTCGCTGCCTGTCATCCTTCCTCAGTCTGCTGAGCTTGAGGAATGGATGACAGGCAGCAAAATCCCCCTCCCCATTTTCCTCCTGTTTGTTGTGGTCCACCAGCAGCCTGCGGAGCTGGCAGCAGAGTCGGACAGTGAGGAGGCTGGGGAGGAACAGGGGCCAGTGCTGGAGGCTGGAGAAGGCTCAGACGAGGGCTCTGCGTCAGAGGCAGAGATTGGGCCAGGGCCAGCTGGGAGTTATGTGCGGACTCTGGAGCCTCCAGAATCAGACATCAGAGAGGCAGAGGAACAGGGGGAGCCTGTTCCTAGTGAATGCATGCACAGAGCTGCCAGAAGGCAAGAACAGTTAAAACAAAAGGGATGGCTCGGGAGTAAGGCTTGGAGATGATTGGCCCCCTCCCATAAGACATAAAGGAAGAGCAAAGGCACGTGGGCCTTTGCAGGAAGTAACGTTGTGGATGGTGTCGGTTTGTACTTTGAAGCTCCATTTTTGATTCTGGGTTTCTGTGTGGCCTCGCCAAGATAATTGTCAATTAGGTCTTTGGCAGCATGTCAAAGAAGATAAAGGTGGGTGTTTACCAGCCTTATCCGAAGGACTGTGGCAGACTTCTGTTGGACTATTTATAAACTCTTGGTGATTCAGCACGTGCTGTGAATGGAAGGAATTCACAGCCGTGAAAATAAAAAAAAAGAGGGTTTTGGGACTAATTGTGTGCTTTTTACTATATCAGGAAGTCTAGGTCAGAACACTCTTTGCCAAAAAAGCCTTCTGCGAGCCTCCCCAAAAGAGGGAAAAAGCAAAGCAGCTGGCCGCGGAGCTGCCAGCTTCGGGGAAGCGGCCCAACAAGCAGAAGTGCTGCGCCCAGAAACAGAAGGGCAAAAGCGGTATTTGCGCTGCCCCAAGGGGCCAGCAGGCTGCAGCTGCAGCCGGACAGTTGCCCCCCTCCCCGCTGCCACTCGTGCTGGCCACGCCCATCCCCCCCGGGCTTATTTTCGGGGTAGGGGCAATATTGGGCCCACTCCCCAAAAATTAGGGTTGTGTTTATTATTGGGTTGGGTCGTGTTTTCGGAGAAACAGTGTAGTTAAAGATATTGATGAAATAGATATTCTATTATGGAACAATAGAGAATATCTATTCTCTAATGAATCATTAGAGTTTCATTAAATGGATGCGGAATCCTTAGATCCTAAATCCTGGAGACTTGACTGTTCTAATTAAAAATATCAAAAATGGAACTGGGTCCTGTACTATTGGCTCTACCACCGAATTATTCGACTTCTTGTGCAACTCTTCCAGAAGGTCCCACAACTGACGAGCCCTTGCGGATTCTATGTCCACAATGCAACTGCGTACTTCATTTTTAAGATTATATATGCCAAACATAAGTTTTGTGCACTTACTGGTCAGAATTAGCCGCTAACTTATTGTGTTCGTTTATTGTTTCCTGGACAAATTCCTCAAGCATTCGTACATGGCTATCGCTGGAAAGGAAGAGGGGGAAAAAAACACCCAATTTTAGAAAAAAGATATATACAGAGTAATTATTATAACCCATGGAAATGTGAATATGTTTTTGTCAGCGTATAAGATGTATTCATGAATTGGAATAGACAGGAAAAGAGAGAAAGAGAAGTGGGGGACTGGCCAATATTTTCAATCTGAATTGTCGATCAGAAAGGTTGGCAGTTCGGCGGTTCGAATCTCTAGTACAGGTTTCCTGCAGGGGGTTTGACTAGATGACCTCCGAGGTCCCTCCCAACTCTGTTACTGTTACATGGTAACAGGTCAGCCAATGGGGACTGTTTGGTGACCCCAAATGGCTCGGAGCCTGGGTGGCTTAGCTTAACTGTTATGTATAAAAGAGTTGCTTTGTCCTTGCATTATTGCCTCTGTATTATATAGCTTCTGTGATTATTGATTCTGTACTTCTGGATTCTGAGTTCTGGTTTTTCCTGTATGGTTACTGTATATAAAGGAGTTTCTTATATAAATGAATCCTGCTGCATTGTTTACTTGTATGCTGGTTGGATTGCTGCAAACTCTTAACAGTTTTTCATGAAGACTGTTTTTAAAACACGCTATTGTACGGTATCTCCCATTGCTCTAATGAATAGCTTTTTTTTTTTCTCTGATCTGAATTTGAAAATCCGTTAAGTTTTCAATTCGTAACAGTTTTGCCACTGTTTTATCCTGATCTGGAAAACTGGGAGGAAAAAAATACTCAATGGTATAAAATGTTTCTTTCCTATTCCCAAGGAAGAATCACATCAGTATAAGCGTCAGTAAGTTTGCTCAACTCGAGGGAGATTTCTCCTTAACAATTATTTCATTACTAATTTATAACTTAATTCCGAAGTTAATGGAGAAAGGTGGGTTCAGGATCAAATTAATCAAACATGGTGGCAAACCTCGCGTTACGACCACAAAATTAAGTCCAAAATTTATGTTGCTAAGTGAGAAATTTGTTAAGTGAGTTTTTGCCCCATTTTTATGACCTGGTTACCTACAGGACTACAGGACTGCGCCCGGACATATGAAGGATCCCCGACCTCTGCGCCTTCCGTCGCGCTCTGAAGATCCTATTATTTCAGCAAGCTGGTCTGACAGGATAAAGGTTTTTTTAAATTGGGTTTTGATAGGGGTTTTAAAATGATTTTAGTTGGATGTTTTGAATTTGGCCGAATGATTGAATTATTTTAATAAGCTTTTAATTTTTGTTGTACATTGTTTTTACCATGGCTGTTCACTGCCCTGAGTCCCTCGGGAGAAGGGCGGTATATAAATATTTTATTTATTTATTTATTTTTAAATTTGTATACCGCCCTTCTCCCTGAGGACTCAGGGCGGTGAACAGCCAAGTAAAAGCATAAACTACAAACATTAAAATACAATTAAAAAGATATATATAAATTTGGCCCCATGATTAAAAAACAATAACAAACAATTAAAAACATTTTAAAAAGTGTTAGGCCAGCCGGGCTTGCTGGAAAAAGAAGGTTTTAAGGGCACGGCGGAAGGCACCGAGGTCTTGGATTCTCCTTATCTCTGGGGGCAGCTGATTCCAGAGGGTAGGTGCCCCCACAGAGAAGGCCCTCCCCCTTATAATATAATAAACTAACTAACTAACTAACTAACTAACTAAATAACTAACTAACTAAATAAATAAAATATATAATAAACTAAACTAAACTAAACTAAACTTTTCTTGCCACCGTTGTTAAGTGAATCTGGCTTCCCCATTGACTGTTTGTTGGAAGGCCGCAAAAAGGGATCACACAACACCCCGGGACTGTCATAAATATGAAGCAGTTGTCAAGCATCCAAATATAAATTACGTGAGTGTAGTGATGCTGCAGCAGTCATACTGTAGGTGTGAACAATGGCCATAAGTCACTTTTTCCAGGGCCGTTGTAACTTCGAAAGGTCACTTAACGGACTGTTATAAGTCGAGGACTACCTGTATTAACAAATGTTTTCCAAGGTGAATGTTACACTCCCAATCTGCTTAGTGACAAGAGCAAATGGCTACACTCAACTGGTTAATATTTTAGTCACATAAAGTCCTCAACTTACAATAGTTTATTTAGTGACGGTTTGAAGTTACGACAGCACTGAAAAAAAGGGATTTATGACCGTTTTTTTAACCTTACGGCCATTTCAGCATCCCCATGGTCACGTGATCAAAATTCAGACACTTGGCAACCAATTCATACTTACGACGGTTGCAGTATCCTCTGTGTGTGTGTGTGTGTGTGTGTGTGTGACGTGATCCCTTTTTGCGACCTTTTGTCAAGCAAAGTCAATGGGGAAGCCAGATTCCCTCAACAACCTTATTAGTAGCCTAACACCTGCTGTGATTCGCTTAACGACGGGGGCGAGAAAAGTCGTATAATGGGGCAAAACTCACTCAACAACTGTCTCGCTCAGGGATGGAAATTTTGAGCTCCGCCGTGGTCGTAAGTCGAGGGCTACCTGCATAAACCTTACAGACAAATCAGAAGGTGGGTGGGAGGCGGCTTAGCGCCAAGATTGGCCCTTTAACGCGACATTGAACAAACCTCTTTGCGTTAGTAATGCAGATGATCCGCCCTCTGTTTCCCACACGGTCGGCGTTCTCCATTAGCAAGGTCCGAGCCTCGTGCTGGTACTCGGTAATTTTGCAAAGAGCTTCAACGGCCGCTACTAAGCCGTGTAGGATACTGCAGCATTCTGGGTCCACGCGAGGATTGGGAGGCCCGACTGCGGCCAAAGCGGCCATTAGCTGATCAAGAAAGAAATAGGCTTGGTTCCTCCTTAACCTTCTCGGCTTCCAAAGCTAAAGAGACACTCATTAAGTAAAGTTTTTTTCCATATAATTTACAGGGAATGAATCCACCACTCCTGGGGAATGCTTCTTTCTAGTCCTTCTTCTCTAAACCTAAAGCCACCTTCTTAAGCTCTGCTTCGTAAGTGTCCTACCCAGTGGTGGGATTCAAATAAATTATAATAATAATAATAACAACTTTATTGTCATTGTACGTGTACAACGTGTACTCAGCTGTACATCTCCACCCCAGACCACCCCAACGATGCCCTTGATGTGATGTCCCGCTGCCTGGAGGTCGTGCGGGTCTGGATGGGGAGGAACAGGCTCAGACTCAACCCGGGTACCTTCGAGACCGACTTCTGCCACCAGTAGCCTCCCATCGGCCAGTCTGCTCCCACAGAGAGGGTCTCCTCAGGGTGCCATCGGCCAAGTTACGTCGGCTGGCGACACTCAGGGGGAGGGCCTTCTCTGTGGGAGCCCCAGCCCTGTGGAACGAACTGCCCTGGAAATACGTAAGATCTCCGACCTCCGGGTGTTTCGCTGCGCACTGAAGACCCTGTTGTTCCGCCAGGCCGGGCTATCGACATGATAATTTTAAATTGGGGTATTTTAAATTTTTGGGGTTTTAAACCAGCCAAATCTATTTAATTATTTTAATTTTTAATCATTGTTGTGTCTTGTGTTTTAAAATTGGCTGTACACCGCCCTAAGTCCTTCGGGAGAAGGGCGGTATAGAAATAAAATTATATTATTATTATTATTATTATTATTATTATTATTATTATTATTATTATTATTATTATTATTATTATACCCAGTATACCCATACAATGAAATTCACTTAACACCCAAAGACCAGGTCCAACACACATGACAATCCCCAAACACACCCCCACCCACCACAAATTCCCCACCCCTAAACCACCCAAACATCCACACAACAGACCAAGTAATGCTGTCCAACAGCTCACTGATGGTGGCCCTTTAGTTCATGGTTGAGTGCAATTATAGCTCTGGGATAAAAACTATTCAGAAGACGTGTGATCCGAGTTTTAATTGTTCTGTATCCTCTGCCAGAAGGCAACAGTCCAAAAAGATTGTAAGCAGGATGGGGAGAGTCTCTGAGAATGTTGTGCAACTTTCTCAAACAGTCAGATTCGAAGATGTCATCCAGGGCTGGTTAACAACTGGTTCTCTGCCCTGGTGTGGCCAGGGCTGTGACAGGCAGCACTTGGCCTCCTGCATCCCCCCGGGAGTAAAATCGGGCCGCGCCACAACCCTTTGCGCTCTGTTTTAGGCCTAGCAGGCCTCCCTGCAGCCTCCTGGGAGCAAAAACGGGCTGTGGAGAACCCGTTTTCCACCTCCCCAGGCTCCGGAGGCAGAAAATAGAGCCTCTGGGAAGCCTGTTTTCCACCTCCCCGGGCTCCACGCGACCCCTGCACTTACCTGGGATCCAAAATGGGCCACATGGGGACTCCTGAGAGGAGAGGGGCGGGGCCAGCCAGTCGTCAGAATTACCGGTTCACCAAACCAGAGGTAAAAATTAACATCCTGTTCACCCAAACCGATCCGAACCGGCTGAATCCCACCTCTGGTTCTACCATGCTGAAGAGTAGCAGTTGACTGCCTGGAATTTAGACTGAGTTGAATTTAAGCCATGGCTGGGTTAGCCTTAGATTTTGGTAGAATCTAACTCTGCTTGAATCTAACATCGGTCTGCTTTCTGAAGTGACAACAACGGTGTAGATCCTTAATAATTTCATTTACCTCCTGCAAGTTTTGGTCTTCCTGGTTCCACGAGTTTAAGACGTTTGCTCCAGAATCGCTTACAATGAAGTTCGCCTGAAAAGTGTACGTAACAACTTTTAATGATGACAGTTGTGTAACGATACAATCAACACTGCCAAATATTTCCATGGTTTGGGGAAAGCATAACATTAACTGAGTTCCTTCTGGGAACCCTTGCCTTAGCAATAACAATAGCACTTAGACTTATATAGTGCTTCGCAGTGCTTCACGGCCCTCTCTAAGTGGTTTACAGAGTCCGGATCTTGTCCCCAACAATCTGGGTCCTCATTTTACCGGCCTCGGAAGGATGGAAGGCTGAGTCAACCTTCAACCAATGAGGATCGAACCCCTGGCATTCGGCAGAGTTAGCCTGCAATACAGCATTCTAACCACTGGGCCACCAGGGCTCTTAGACTGACAAACATACTTGTTGGGGCCTATAGTCAACCATGAGCTGAAGGATTTGGCTCCTCAGTACATGTACCAGAGGGATAAAATGGTAGCAAAAGTCTGCTATCTTTTTTCCAGGGTTTAGCAGATCATATGAATATTAGTACGATGTGTTAATGCAAAAATGGGTGGGAAGCCTCTATATGACTGGCATTTAGTGTTATGAACTAAATTTTCTTCAGGCTTCTAGTTAATTAATTTTCCTCTATGTATATTTAAAATATAGTAATTTATTACTGAATCTGAAAGATCTTGTATTTTAAACACGTATGTGGGTAAGTTTCCTACAAAGGTAGGAAGTACTGAAGTACTTCTAAGTACTGAAGATGCAAGATATACAGCATGTTAGCCTACGATCCTCAACTGAATTAATAAACAGTACCTTCCAGTGAATTTGAGATCAATATTCTTTGCCTGGTGTTACTAGACAGAATCAAGATTTCACACTGAAGCCTTTATTTGATTCTTGGGGATTTGACTTACCCCGATTGTGGATATATACTCAACAATCGTGGTAGCAGAGAAGCTCTTATTTACAAAACCTTATTGATTATAAAAGATAAGGGATACTTACTAGTTTTTTAAACGGGAATATATCATACATTATCCTGCAGTATTCCATGGAGGACTCCACTGAACAGGTCCAGAGGGATCGAGAGATAGGGGCGAGAGGTATGATTCCCTGCGCCCGATTCTTTACCAGCATATCAAACTCAACATGTTGTCGACAGGATTCTGCCATGTAGGGGCAGTGGTCTACCACAAAAACTGTTTTATGCGACTCCGAGAAAAGCTTCATTTTCTTTCTGCAACAAATTAAAGATTTAACACTACATCAATTAAAAATGAGACTATTAAATGCAAATGATGATACTGTAACAACATTGAACATCCTCTGCGTAAGACAGCTTCTCGCACAAATGAAGAATAATGTTTTAAACAAAATTAAACTATTGGGGCTGCATTGAGGAGAAGGAGAGGGATATCACAAAAATGAAGGTATGGAACTATCTGGTAAGTTTTCAGACACTTATACAAATAATACTTTAGATCTTAAGGGTAAAGTTCTATACCTACTAAATTTCAACTGGCAATTTTTCACTTCACTACAAAGATTTGTTCAGTCCAGTTGTTTTGTCTATTTATATTTTATGTTCCAAATCGACAGATGTTCCATGAACCTCTATCAGATCCCAGCACTGATTAAAAAAACAGTGTTTTTTCCCCTCCCTTTTGGTGTTTTCTTATTCATGTCCTAAGCAGATCTGATCCAACTTGACTTTTCTTGAGATCAGCCAAGGTCAGCCAGGTTCTACAACTTCCTGCCACTGGATTGTGAAACTGGCAGAAAATAAACACACACACAACACACAGATATTGTGGAATGCAGCAGTGGCCAACTGCTTCCTGATTGTTGACAAGAAAACCCCTTGGACAGGTGGAACTAGATTCAACAAAGACTTGGATTCAAGTAAATTGGAGTTTACATCTAAGGTGGAGTAAATATTAACTTAGCACACTTGCCTGAACTCAGCCAAAAACTTAAAGTTAGTAAACTATGAGCATCTGCAGACACAGGCATCCTGGCACTATGAAACAAGCTGACTAAGGCAAGTCGTTTGCACAACAGCACAAATGCGCGCACGGTTATTTTGGTTTCATGGCTTGTCATCCACACCCCTCAGGATTTGGGAGACCAATCTGCAATTGCAGGGGGCTCCTTGGACAGGCCCCTTCCTCACTTCCCTGCAGTTGCTGAGCAAGACGCTTTGTTAAACAGACGGAGAGGGGAACTGCGTAATCTTTTGCAGGCCTCCGCTAGACAGGTAGTCCTCGACTTAGCACAACAATTGAGTCCCAAACTTCCACTGCTAAGCTAAACATTTTTGAAGTTAATTTTATGACCATTTTTGAATCACTGCGGTTGTTAAGTTAGCAACACGGTCGTTAAGTGAATCCGGCTTCCCCACTGACTTGTCAGGAGGTTGCAAAAGGGGATCGCCTGACACCTCCCCCTGCAACCGTCATAAATACAAATCAGTTGTGAAGCTTCTGTATTTTGATCATGTGACCATGGGGAGGTTGTGTGAAAAACGGTCATAAATTCGCTTTTTTCAGTGCCAATGTAACTTCGGTCCCTAAATGAACTGGATGTAGGAGATGACCAGGCTGAGTCCGAGGGAGGGGTCAAACACATCATCAGTCATGAGTCCCTGCATATCCATAAGAGCGCTAAGTCCAGCCTCTCTTATCTCCTGCTCTTTTCCCTTGACCGTTAGTAGCTCAGATTCTTGTAGAGAGCTTTAGCTTTCAATCAATCTTTATACAGGTAGTCCTCGACTTACGACCATAACAGAGCCCAGAATTTATGTTGCTAAGTGATACATTTGCGAAGTGAGTTTTGTCCCATTTTACAACTTTTTCTCGCTACATTTCTTAAAGGGAATCCCTGCAGCTGATAAATTAGTAACACGGTTATTAAGTGAATCCGGCTACCCCCTTGACTTTGCTTGCCAGGAGGTCGCAAAAGGGGATCACGTGACCCCGGGACTCTGCAACCATCATAAATATGAGCCAGTTGCCAAGCGCCTGAATTTTGATCACATAAGCATGGGGGATGCTGCAAAGGTTGTAATTGTGAAAAATTGTCATAAATCACTTTTTTTTTTCAGTGCCATTGTAACTTTGAATGGTCAGTAAATGAATTGTTGTAAGTTGAGGACCACTGGTGCAGCATTCTGTTTTTCCTTTTGGATAAAAGCTCTTCCTCTTCCTCTCCCTGCATTATCTGAATTCAGTGCATTGAGGCAGGAGAAAAGTTTTTTTGGGGTACATGTTCGAATCATGCCACCTTCACACTTCCCCAGCTAATCACAGGTTGGGAAGAACGAAAGGCACAAATAAAATAAGCCCATCCATCAAAGCCTTGTACTACCAGCCTTGGTAGTACAGTGGTTTAATGCACCCTGTAATTAACACAGCTGCCTGCAATTTCTGCAGGTTCGAATCTCACCAGGCTCAAGGTTGACTCAGCCTTCCATCCTTTCTAAGGTAGGTTAAATGAGGACCCAGTTTGTGGGGGCAATAAGCTGACTTTGTATAAATATACCAAAGTATGAAGGCTATTGCTTAATGGCTTGTAAGCCGCCCTGAGTCTCCGGAGAAGGGCGGCATATAAATCAAAAAATTAAAAAAAAAAAAAAAAAAAAGCACAGAATAAAATACAGGTGCTCCTCGATTTACAACGGTTCACTTAGTTGTAACATCTGCACTGAAAAAAGGGGCTTATGGTCGTTTTTCACACTTACGACCGTTGCAAGCCTCCCCCCCCATAGTCATGTGATCAAAATTCAGACGCTTTTGGATAAAAGCTCCTCCCCCTACCCCTGCAGAATCTGAACTCGGTGCATGGAGTCCATGCAAAGTCGTAAAATAGGTCAAAACTCACTTATCAACATCAATCTTGGGCTCAATTGTGGTCGTAAGTCAAAGACTACTTGTACTAGCTACCATTATAACTATTTTTTAAAAATTGCAAGTTAACTTTTAATTTTATTGATTGATTGATTGATTGATTGATTGATTGATTGATTGTTTCAATTTATATGCCGCCCTTCTCCGGAGACTCAGGGCAGCTTACAATGCGTTAAGCAATAGCCTTCATCCTTTTGTATATTTATACAAAGTCAGCTTATTGCCCCCACAATCCGGGTCCTCATTTTACCTACCTTAGAAAGGATGGAAGGCTGAGTCAACCTTGAGCCTGGTGAGATTCGAACTTGCACTAATTGCAGGCAGCTGGCAGCTAAGTGCTAATACTTAACAGCACTTTAGTCCGCTGCACCACCAAGGCTCTTTTAAACTAGCAGGTCTGTTCGTGGGCCACTCTCACTGTAGGGATGCCTTGGCAATTTGCTTCGAGTCACAGTACGGGCAGTCCTCGTCTTACAAGAGTTCGTTTAGTGACAATTCAAAGTTACAAACGGCACTGAAAAAAGTGACTTATGGCCGCTTTTCACACTGCAGCCTTGCCCATGGCCACAAGATCAAAATTCAGAGGCTTGGCAACTGACTCACACTTATGACGGTCGCAGCGTCCTGGGGGGGTGTCACGTGATCCCCTTTTGCGACCACCTCCTGACCAGCAAAGTCGATGGGGGAAGTCAGATTCGCTTTAACAACAGCGTGACTCACTTAACAACCGCAGGGATTCACTTACCGACCGTGGCAAGGGAGGTCGTAAAACGGGGGGGGCCAAAAGCATGGTCGTAAGTCGAGGACTACCTGCAATAAAAGGAGGAAGCAGCCATCCCTTTTGCAAGGTGGGAAGCTTGATTTAAATAATGCAAGAGCCCCCGACACCCGTTATTTTTTCAACCCCATAGACCCCCCCTCCCATAACACATACACACACAATCACACAACGTATGTTGCCTTACAGCAGCCACTCTTGACTTTCAGACTCTCTTCTACTTCCAGGGAGCAGATCGCGCATGCGCCCTGAGCATCTTTCACTCTCGGGCGAATCAGAGGGCGGGGAGAGGGAAAAGAGGGAGAGAGCGAGCAACTAACGTCTCGCGAGACTTCGGGCAGGACGCTTCATTGGCTAGGGAATTCCCCCGCCTTTTTTTTTTTTCAGGCTAAGCAAAACCTCGCGAGACTTCCAAGCGAAGTTTCCTCCGGGAGGGGAGCGTCGAGAGAGGAAGGGGAAAAAAACAAAAAAGAAACCCACCTCGCGATATTTCACTACCTAGGCAAAGGGGAGGGACGGAGGGAGAGGCCAAATCTCGCGATAACTCGCTTCGCCCGCATCGGTCTCCCTCTCTCTCTTCTTTCTCCAAGCGGCGGCCAGCGGCTCTCGCGCTTACCTACCTCACCGCTGCCCCATGGGGTCGCCCGGCCGGCCGGTGCCTCTTCCTCTTGTCCTTCGAGCTGCCGCCGTGTGAAGGGGCGACGCGGTAGGCGGACGGCGAAGCGGCGGAGCCGCCGGCGTCCCTCCACATCCTCTCGCCCGCGTCTGCGCCCTGCCGGGTGGGGGGGGCGCAAAGGAATGAATCGGAACCATCGGTGAGAGGGGAGTTTTTTGTTTTTTTTTGGTGGCGGTTGGAGGAGGGTGCGCGCGCACGCGTCCTCTGAGGTGGATGCGCGCGTGAGGGGAGGGGGGAAAGAGAGCGTGTGTGGCCTAGCCGCGCTCTGATTGGCTGGCGGGGTGGGCGCGCGGGAGCGACGGTTGGGAAAGGCCGTTAAAACGGTTCCTGAGGGGGGGAGGGAGGGGGACGCTTTTTTTTTTCCTTCTTCTTTCCCCCTCCCCCCTTTCAAGGCCGCGCCGAGGCCGGAGATGCCCGACGGGGCTATTCGGGAGCGGGACGCCCCTGCCTGAGGGGGAAAGCCCCTGCGTCATCTATAAGAGATGTGGGGATGGGGATATAGGCGGAAATTTTTTATTTATTCGTTCAGTCATTCATTTACTTATTTATTTGCTTATATGCCTTGTCCCTGTGTCGTATAATGGATGTGAGTAGGCGCATATTTTTTCTTTATGTGTTTGTTTATTGGTCATGTCCCTGTGTCACATAATATATGTGGGGATATGCATAATCAATTAATTAACTAATTATTGGCCATGTCCCTGTGTCATATAATATATGTGGGGATATGCATAATCAATTAATTAACTAATTATTGGCCATGTCCCTGTGTCATATAATACATGTGGGGATATACATAATTAATTAACTAATTATTGGTCTTGGCCCTGTGTCATATAATGTGGGGATATGCATAATCAATTAACTCATTAATTATTGGCCATGTCCCTGTATCATATATGTTGGGATATGCATAATCAGTTAATTATTTATTGGTCTTGGCTCTGTGTCCTATAATGTATGTGGGGGATGTGAGTAAATGCATATTTTTATTTATTTATTAGGCATGTCCCTGTGTCATATACTATATGTGGGGATATGCATAATTAACTAACTACTTATTGGCCATGTCCCTGTGGCATACAATATATGTGGGGGTATGCATAATTAATCAATACATTAATTAATAGTCATGTCCTTGTGTCATATAATATATGTGGTTATATGCATCATTTTTTATTCATTTATTGGCCACATTTATGTAGTGTACATTGGAGGTTGGTGACCCTTTAAGAGCCGAATGCCACGAAATTTCATTTTCATGTATGCTGATTAGTGTACATTTAAAGGGACAATAAAAATAATTTCCCTCCATCCTGGCCTGGAACTGAAGGGAGCAAAGGCCAGGCCTGGCAAGAAGTGGGCCAAGCTTGGGTCTCCTCTCCTTCTTTAAGAGGGCTTGGGTGTCTCTGCATACCACCTTATTTTTTAGCCTGGTGGAGTGTGTTGTGAGGATATTTAACACATTTGTTTTATACCTATTCCTGGGCATTGTTGGGAGTTTAGTCTTTGGCAGAGGGAGACACTGTAAACAGAGCAAATCCCTCCTCCTTTCTGGCACTGATGATGTTCCCTAGTTGGGCAGTGAAACATCTGCAAGAAAATACAGGTAATCCTCAATTTACAATGGTTTATTTGGTGAACCGTTCAAACTGCACTGAAAAAAAGAGACGACCCTTTTTTACATTTCCCACCATTATAGCAGTCCCATGATTACATGATCGCAATTCGGATGCTTGGGACAACTGGTTGATATTTATGATGGTTGCTGTGTCTCCTGAGTCATTGTGACCTGACAAGCAAAGTCAATGAGGAACCCAGATTCACTTAACAACCATGTTACTAATGTAACAGTCCTTCGGGAGTAGGGCGGTATACAAATCAAAATAAACTAAACAGCTGCAGTGATTCATTTGAAGCAAGAAAAGTTGTAAAATGGGGCAAAACTCACTTAACAAATTTCTCAGCAACATAAATTTGGGGCTAAGGTGTGGTTGTAAGTTGAGGACTACCTGTAACCAAGCTCATAGAGCACCAAGGATCCTACAGTCCTCTTCCTCTTCCCTGCAAACTCCACTCCCTTCCAGCACTGTTGATGTTACCTAGTTGGGCAAGGAAACCACTGAGCTCAGAGACCATAAAAGATCCCACAGTTTTTCCTCCTCTCCCTCCCTCTCCTTGTACTGATTATGTTACTTAGGGGTATAAATACAATATTAGCTACATTCAAAAGAAAATGAGAAGCTGATACAGGAACTAAAGTACAATAACATCTGCAAGATTACAAAATGCAGATGTTATAGTAGTTTAGTGCCTGTGTCAAGTTCTCAGCTTCCCATTTTATTTGGAATGTAGCCAATAATAGTTTCCCTCCATTGTTGCATCTCTATTTCAATCAGTTCACAAGTACTGTACAATATGCTGAGTGATACTGATAAGAGCACCCAAGAGATTCAGTATTCAGATTTCCCTAAGTTAGTGAGAAAGTGATCAATGATCAGTGAAGAGGATTTATTTCTAAACAAGGTAACTCAGAAAATCAATAGATACCTTAAAAACAGTAAGAAAACTTTTGCAGAAAGTTATGTTTAAATTTAGGAGTTTTATTTAAAAGCTCATTTGTGATTTCCTTTTCTGTTACGAAAACTCTACATATGTATCAGACAGGAAATATTAAATTAGGGTAATTTGCAAAGTAGGTTCTTGTTGCTGCAGTTGCTTTGTGACAAACAATAAAATAACCTTTGAACAGGAAGCGGGGGTGACCTGAATTGTTTGTGTATTTTACCAGTGTCACCATTTAGCAAGGAATAACTACAAGCAATAGATTTCTGTGAAATCAAAACTTATTAATGTTTCCCCTAATTCTTATGTTGTATTATGAGGGTGCAAAAGATTTTTTTATATTGTTATTGATGTATACTTTGTCAGTGCAGAAGCCTCATTCAATGTATTGGGGTCACCAAGAGGCCTTGCATACTTATACAATACTGTTACAAAAATTAAAAAGTCTCTCAACATGATAAGTTTCAGAATATCTAGGATGACAGTTAATATTCTACTCAAAATACAGGACATACAGATTGGAAGCATGGCAATATAATTTCCAAGCTGTGATTTACAAGTAATATAAATTAAGGCAATCCTGTGCAGAAGTCTATCTTGCGTCTGTATTGTATCAAGATGTACTATAGAATAATATAGTATAAAGGATAAAATAAACCTTCAGTGACATTAACAAAAGGAAAAAGACTCACACATTTTCATACTTCATTTAGTCTGCATGTTCAGGATGCCAGACAACTTAAATGCTGCTTCTGACAAACTCAAATGTGGAAGGGTAGCTGATGTTGTATAACATTATCTTCTATTTTAATTTTTAGAAATGAGTTGCACAATTGAGAAGGCCCTAGCTGATGCCAAAGCGTTAGTGGAGCGATTAAGAGAGCATGACACTGCAGCAGAAGCGCTCATTGAACAAACTACCGATCTCAACAAACGAGTGGAAGCAATGAAACAGGTTTTTCTTCTCTCTTAATAATTATTATTCAGAAACTAACTGCTTCATTCTGGTATTTTAAAATGTGCAGATTTAAAAGTGCAAAAAACTTAGTTCTGCATTTTTTTATTTTGATAAGGCTGTAAGATATTGAATTATCTTTCTTGCATGAGTATTATGATTAAAAATGGCATTTCACTTTTTAAGAGGAGGAAAAAGCTTGAAATTTGAAAATGGATTAATTCCAATTAATGTATAATACATAATTTTATAAATTTTCATGTATTTACTTTCAAAATGGAACTTGTTTTACGTTTTATTGCTCAACTCTTAAGATTTTTTTAGTTCTTACTATGAACCAAGAATGTAAACATGAATAGCAATACATAGCATACTGTAATCCAAAATCAGTTAAAACCTGTTCTCCAAGATCTGAAATGGTACCATTAAAACCTGCTGTCCATCTCTTAATTAGAGAAGGTGCCAGATGAATCTCTTAAATTGTAGACTTTTTTTTTTTTTTTTTTGCATTTAAGCAATATTAAATATTTACCTATGCACTGGTAAATTTGGTGATTTTGAAGCTGCTGCAATATTTTTAATATTTACAGCAAACAGAACAATTTGTAATATGATTGCAATATGTTAATGTTTTCATAGGTAACTTCAGATAGCAGACATTTTAATGAGTTCAATTTTACTGAAATGGAATTTTATTATAAATATTCTGTATTTGATAGTTATTCAAAGTGGTCAGCTTTTAAATTCACATTCGAAAAATATAAAAACAATTTTTATGGATTCATAATACTATACTGTATTAAAATGTCTGGTTTTGAAATTGAAATTCATCTTTGTTTTTAATACCAGATATCTGATAATTTTTTGCCATTCTGTCTGTTTTATAATTTCAGTACCAGGAAGAAATTCAAGAACTTAACGAAGTAGCAAGACATAGGCCTCGATCTTCCTTGGTCTTAGGTATCCAGCAGGAAAACAGACAGATCAGAGAACTACAACAAGAAAATAAAGGTTAATAAGCGTTCAGTTAAGAAGAATCCCGTTTACTATCAAAATAGCCCAAGATTACTCTTTAAAATTCAGCATGCTTTATTAGGATAGTCAAATACTTAATAGCTTACAATAATATATCAGTCCATCTTCCTATTATGATGTGTGCATAAGCCAGTAAAATATCTGAAGGATCTGTTGCAATTATTCCCAACTTCTGGTGCTTTAGTATGTGTGTGTGTGGGAGCAGAGCGCGAGTAATGTAATAATAGGATTCTGTATACATTTTAATGCATCTTTCTTAATATGGCGTTGGAAGCATGCAGCATCTGGAACCAAAAGCAGGAAAATTATTATGGTTGCTCTTGGCCCTCTTTAAGGGAACCAGGTATTTTTCCTGAGCCCACTCAGCAGCAGCACAGGATCAAAAAAAATTTTTCTTTTGAATTAGGCAAGCATCTTTGCCCAAGTATTTGGGATATAGATCTGAATAATAAACATCTGGACATTGCATTATTATTCACAATGTAATTTGCTTTACAAACATTTTTGTAATGTAGTATTT